TCTATGGGTAAGGCCCTTTGTTGATGCTCTATTTAGGAAGTGGTTACTAGATCATCTCGTGCTGCTTATCTACACCAACTAAAACACTTTGCCAGGGAATCTAGACTGGAATCGAAGTCGGAGGTACAACAACCTCGGAATCGGATCCGCTAAGGCAAGGCACCCAGCAGTTAGCAGCTCCGTCTCCACTTTCTCAAATTATTTTTAGGGTAATCAATAGAACGAGGTGGAGGCAAGAGAAAGAGTTCACTGCCTGAAAATAATTAATCTGGCTTTTGTTGAAAATGTTCGGGCATGTGGCCGATTTTTCGCCTGAGATTCTGACGTACAGACGGACGGATAGCCAGCCTTGTCGTGTTTATATTTCTGCCAAAAAATATCAAGTTTATTGACCTATGTTATCTACACATTTTTCGATTTTAAATTATAAATGTGTGGGGAAATTATATTATTAGAGATTAACGTCTCACACTCTCTTACATACTATAGACAGATTTTGATTGCAAAATTATAAAAGAAATCTTTTCTATGTCACGAAGGCTTTTAATTGGACCTTTAAAGGTTGATAATTTGAAATGGAATTTTTAATACACCTTACTAAGCATAAGTGTTTTTTAGAGTAGCATTCATTTATAGTAATTAAGCATTTTATTATCACTTAATGATTGATTGATTGATTTATGGAAACACTGAATTATTTAGAATTATATTTTTGCTTTTATTAACACTTTTTATTGTCAACTATATTTTGTATTAATTGATCATTTTCGGTTGTATAATCACTTAGCACTCGTCGTGTTTCATATTACAGAACAGAAATGTTGGAAAAAACGCGTCACGGCGAATAAAAACTTTGGGAAAACCCGCTCGTTACCGCTTGGCTCGGAGTCTTGACCACGTCTAAAGGTCTTTGAATTTGATTTGCATGCGAGCGGCGCTAACGGCCACAGGACGAAGGACCTCCACTGGAAGGTTTGTGGGCTGAATTTGTGGAAACTACCGTGGAGTACACCCTCCCTCTCCCTTCTGGCAATGTCCGAGTCCGAGTAAATTAATGAATTAAGCCGCGATTTATACCAAGTCCGGCCTTAAGTGTATACACTTACAAGGTGTTTCGGCGAACCCTCGACCCGTTCGGGTGAAATGTGGCTCCGGAGAATGTCATTGAGACACCCTAATCCAATTTGCATACATATTCCCGAAGTGACCTCTCTCTATTTTTCCATACCGCCTGGCCCCAAACGCCATGGTTACCGGCCATGGTCAAAACACGCTACTGGACTTTCCATTAATTTATACAACAGGATGAATGGTGGCATGAATCCTGGCTATACATAGCTCGGGTGTATGTATATATCTGGTATATGTTTATATGGAATCTCAGGTGGTTGGAGCTCGGGCTGTCCGAGATCTGGGGTCCGAGAAGTTTTTCCACACCTACACCTCGCTCTCGGTGGGTTCGTGAAAGGCAAACTGAACGAAATGTTTGGGTTTCCGGTTTGACTTGTTGAGGTTTTATTTGCATGCGAGCTCTGCTCTTAACCGCCGCTTGTGGGAAGCCTATTGGAATACTTAATTATTCCTATTCCCTATTGGCTCTCCTCCACCATATTTTCGCATTCACGCAATCCACGCACTGACCCCTGATTGCAAATCAAAAATTCTGCTTTAATGGCCAAATTCCCTTTCAACGAGATTTCACTGGATTTACGTGCATTCAAGTTGGAGTCCGGGAAAAGGGCTTGGTAGATGGGTGAATTTTTTTTTAAATAGCCCCAGCTTTGAACCCTAGCCCAATTGGGGTCAGCCACCTAGAGTGAGTGTGTGGCACAAGCAACGTTTCTTTCCAATAAAAAATGATTTATGAATTGCCTCTACTTTCTTAAAAAAAACCTGGGCATAGATTAGGGGGAAATATTTTATTGGGAGCATGCCTAAAAGACCTTTGATTATCCTTGGGCTTATGGTTGCTTATATAAGTTATGAGCTGTTTATATTTGGTAGAATTTTATAGCTCAGAACCTCAAGGACACCAGTAACATAACATTTCTTTATGAATTTATTTTGCCTTTCATGTTTTTTATATGTTTATTGGCTTGTTAAGATTTAATCCGAAATCTTTGATTATTATATATATGATTTATAAACAGCTTTCTCAGAAACACTTTTTTTATATCAAAATCAAGTTTCCTTAATAATTTATCAGACTAGTTACAAATTTATTAATTAATATATTTAAAAACAGTTTTCTTGTTTCATCAGTATATCATAAGAGAATTTATATCTTATAATTTTAAAAAAAATCTTGGTTTGTAAAAGGACTTTATCGTAAAAGATGTTAAGCCTTAATTAAGTCAGAAGGTACTTTGGAATATGGTTATGAAATTGCTAACGATTCTTTATCCTTTATCCTCATCAATTATATTTATATTTAATTGTTTAATAACAAATTTAATCCCTTTCTTATAAGGAACCTAATAATGTGGCAAAGCTGTATCCCTTTTTGGTCCCTATTTTACTTTAAATGTTCGACATGATAAGCTTTATAATTATTGGCGTTTCCCGCCCTATATTTTCACTCTATCCACCTGCCACACACTGTGTGCTCCACATGTTGTTCATTGAGGGTGCCAATGTCGCACGCCACACGTTTCCCGGGCGTTAATTTGAGTGGCTCAGGCGAAGGTGTAGGTGTAGGTGCTGGGAGACTTTACCTGTACAAAATGTTTGAGCCCTGCTCACATACTCTCATTCATATCAACGGCAATTTACATACTCAAGCCATATTCGATTTATTCATGCAGGGCGATGGTAGGAATTCCCCAAATTGTTGCACACTTTGCACATGGCCAGAGGGAGGGACTCACCGCAACGCTCGACGACCGCCGAGAGAAGGTCCCGATGTGCACCATGGATGATGACCAGAAGGCACGTGGGACACGAGCACGTGGCGGCGGGACACGAGATGGACACTAGGGCGAGCACTCCCGCCGTTTTGCACTGGCAGCCCGGCGAGAAATTAAAATCGAAATTGGCAAAGGGCGTCCGCATGGCGCGATTTCCGATCGCTCCCTCAGTCTCTCGAACACTGGCCAATGTACGCGGAACGATTCCGATTCCGACTCCGACTCCGACTCCCGGACTCCTCCGATTTCTCCGGTGCTCAAGTGCCGACTGTCAAAGCAAATAAAAATAACAAAATGGCCTCACCTGTATCCTGGCAACATTCATTAAAACACCTCCGAGCGGCGCCGTGCCGAATTTAGAGGCAGAAAGAGGCGCAAGTTGCTGTGATTCCACGTGGAGAAATTTATGTTGATATTGATATATATCACAAAATCCATTTAAAAATCAATTTTTTATCAAATAAAGGTAAGATTTTTGAACGAAAGAATACAATTCTTGAATATATATTGCATAAATAGATCATAAAAATAACATTCCCCATTATATCATGGCTGATCCTGGCTTAGTTTCCAAGAAAAGTAGAGATTTAAAGAAATATTTGTCCCGTGTTTTATGGGCATAAGACTTTCATGAATTTTTTGCCAGTGTAACTTTGGGCTTTGGCTATATATGAATATTAATCCATTTGCATTCGCTGCTCTGCATAAGACAAATCGGGCAGCGGAACCGATTTCTCGGCCAACTTGCGACGCTGCGAAACGAGCGCATTATTTAATAATACCGTTTGTTTATTGAATCGCAGTCAAAACTTTTGGCACAGACGGAAACCCAGTCCTCCCAGGAACCCCTCTGACTGCCCCTTATCGCTCATACTAGTTCGCCGCAAGTTGCTGATTTTGGGTGACTTGGGGGGTGGGCTCCCAGTTTGCTCCCTGGAAGGATTTGGGGTTGAGGGTTGGGAATGGGGTGCCGGCGGTGCAGTCGTCGACGGCAACGGCAACGGGCAAAAGCAACGCCGGCATGTCTGTCACACCCCGAAAAGTGAAATAGCTTCTGTCAATATTCTGTCAATAGGCACATGTTTTTCCGATGCCGAGTGGGTGGCGGCACCCGACACCCGGCTGTGGCAGTGGCAGTGGCAGGCGGGGATTGGGATTCGGATTGCCAAAGTGGAGTCAACGGGGGGGCTGTTTGCCGGAGCTGTTGATGGCGCTGTTGCTGCGTTTTCCCTTTCGCCTGATATTTAATCGATCTCCTGGCAATGAACATAGATCAATATTGCGTTTTGAAAGCGAGTTCTTTTTTTGGGGCTCGACCCATTTTCGAGACCAGTCCGGGGTAGAGTATGCCACGTGTCCATATGTATTCACGAGGGATTGGAATCATTGAATTAAATAATATATTCTTGAAGGTTTTTATCTTTTTAAACTGCCTGAGAGTATTTTATTAAAATTATTATATTATATAGGTCTGTCTATCAATCAAGAAATCTCATCTCTCATTTTTTAAGCTATATGAATTAGCATTATATATGCTCTCACTATATATAAGCAGAAACGGGCCGGATCGAACGTCTATATCATATAGCTGTCATAGGAACGATCGGAACATTTTTAGAAAACAAAATATAACTTATCCAGTTGTCCACAAATTTGCATTTAATTTGAGCTAAAGCCATTTGGTATTATTTTATTATTTTGATTTAAATTTTATAAAAATCAGGCGGCTATATCATAAAGCTGCTATATATATGATCGTTAAATATATTTCATACCCCCTCCCTCTCTGTAACTCCACAGATAACTATAACGCTAGGCACAACTCTTACTCTCCATCTCTCTTTGCCTAGTTGCAGGGGTATCTCTGTTGCTCTCTCTCACTTTCTCTGTTAGCATAGCTGTAGGGGTATCTCTGTTGCTCTCTCTCTCACTTTCTCTGTTAGCATAGCTGTAGGGGTATCTCTGTTGCTCTCTCTCCCACTTTCTCTTTTCTCTCAGTTTGCAGAGTATAAATAGAGGCACTGGCCGGCCCGCCGGCCTTAGTCTGTCCATGGCCGCCGCCCTGTTAACATCTCTGGTGATAGTGATAGTGATTGCTCTTCGACTTCAAAAATATCACCCGTCCAATGGAACACATCCGGATAACCAGGAAGAAGTTCACTACGATGATAAGTCTAATTGGAGTCACCAGGAAAATAACTCTGAACTGGATGAAATCAAGCAATGACGTGTCCTCTACTGGGGTAAGTCTAAACCATGACAATTATACATACATACATACATATATAGTTAGTTCAGCTGATTAATTTCCTTATTGCCATAACTTGCTTAATTAATTTTAAATAAAAGGTGACACAGCAATAAGTATTATAATATTCTATATTCAATCGATATTTTTATATGCTTATTTTTTGGATATGTCAAACTTTTATAATTATCATAACTAAGCCAAAAAGGCATCAATTTTGATTCAGAAAGCTTTCCTTAGTTAGGTTTTATTAGGCTAATATAATATAAATAAAAAAATTTCGAAAATTTATTAGTTACCGGAAATAGCTAAATCAATCCAGCTATAAATGCTGATCAAAAAAATATATATTTTATGGGGTCGGAAATGCCTTCTTTACTGCTTTCTCATCTCCTGATTAAAATGATAAATTATATTACAACTTTTTTAACTATGTACATACATTACAATACCCAAGCTTCTAAATAACTGCAAATCTTGTGAATTTCCTTAATAAATAGTTTTTGCTCACACCTTTTGAAGCCAAATCATTACCATGTACCCTTTCAAGTGAGAACAGATCCACTCCATTTAAAGCTGTTGAGGCCTTTCGTTGGCCTTGTTTACTTGTTAAATAAAGACGTCGCCACATTTATCTGCATAAACTTATAGCGCAAAGTATCTCATCGGGCGAAGAAAGCAAGACCCAGGCGTCTAGGGTCAAGTAAGTACACTCCAGAGCTCATGTATGTACATCTGTGTGGATGGCAGACAAGGATCTGGAATTGTGGCTGGTCTGGGATATGGGAACCGAACAGAACCGGCAGCTCCATGGCTCCATAGCTCCATGGCTCCGTGCTCCAAACACTTTTCTTTGGCCGGCGGCCATTCCATCCATGCACCATAATTTTCAATAGCTATTCAAATTCTTTGAAGTTCTCGAGGTCACCTAACGGATGCGAGGCATTGAAATTGATCCAGGCCATGAGCAGAGCATCGCCTTGCAGTTGCCACTGCCAACTGTGCTGGGTTTTGGCCACCAAACCGGATAGTTGGCTCTTGGTTAGTCCCTTGCAGCTCTTTTGTTTGTGTGCCGCGGCCAAGATGCATCATCACATCGGCCTGGCTCAATCGAATCAGCAGCAAAGGCACTATCCCAGTATCCAGCATCCCATCCTATCCCGCACATTTATCTGGCGAGCAATTCCAATTTCGCCGGCTGCCATCCGAATAATCACTGGTTTTTCGACCAATCAGCAGATTAAATTGCATCAAGATGCTTACTTACTTACTTAAAACAAAGTTGTTCTGATAAAATTCTTATAAAGCAGCAGCAGGACTTTAATTAGGATAGCAGGCTTTCCAATACGAATTCCTCAATTCCGACTAATTAATTGTGTTTCCTTTAAGTGCTGTAATCTTTGCTATTTAAACATTAAATTGAAGTTGTGGGAAATGCCTCCTCCATAAATGAGGAATTTAAAAGATGTTTTTGTATCGCTTTACGGTATTTTTCATTCTCTTTTCGGTTTCATGTTACCAAACCTGAGGATTTGTCGTGGGATCTTCTTGCCCTTGTTGTCTAACCAACTGGTTCGGCTAACCTTATCTTGAACACTAAATTAATAAGGATGTCAGCGTGTCCAACAAAGTTTCTACTCGAAGAATATCTGAACACTTTTTCTTATCGACTTAATGCAAACAAGTACAAGTGCGCTATTAAGGAAAAAATCTTGACTTCCCGAGGAAATACTACATGCGTAAAAGTAATCAGTTTTTTAATGGAAACTTAAGTACACAGATCAGGTTACGATGAGAAATGAAAAATAATGGGATCCTCCTCTCGAGTAACGGTGGTGTCATCAAGGTAACGACCTTAAGAAGAACAGATGTCCAGAGTCCAGGGAATTTGCATACTTGAACCGAAACCAAAGCCAAGCCGGGCCAACTTAAAGCCAAAACCCGCCCAATATAAAGCTTAGTGCGAGTTGGTGTTAAGTATGAGCACGAAAATGAGCAAAAGAAAAAAAATAAAATAATGAACCAGTACCAGTACCGGCTCATGGTCGCATATTAGCATCCTGCGGAGTACTTCATTTGCGCCGCTGCCTGCCTAAGCTTCTTGGTAGCTGGCCTCCGGTTTGGGCCAGGCCGAGATGCAAATGAAATATGCGCCGGCATTAAGAGCAGAATTACAAATTTCAGAGGAGTGCGAGCGGCAGCAGCTGCTTCTGCTGCTGGCTATATGGAGATGTGGCTATGGTGGCTATGGTGGCTATGGTGGCTATGTGGCGCTCACGATGGCGATGGCTATGGCGCTGCCTTCTGCACGGTGGCCATTTCCTGGCATTTTAACTGGTTTTGTTTGACGGTGGTTACAATTAGCGGCTATTTAAATTGCCACGCATGAGCCGCTATTAATTACGGAACGATGGCACCGCAGAGCCGAAACCGAGAAAAAGTTGTTTATGGCCGGTATGCGGAGCAGAGAAGCGGACTCAAATGAAGCAAGGTGGAGTGGAGCACTCTAACCGTTAAACGGAAGCTCAAATGCCTTTCAAGTACCGAAGTTCAGTTCACACAAATCGAGAGTATAGAATCCGATACCTTGCATTGAGTCCATTTTAATTGCTGCATTAAGAAAATTCAAATATTTATTGGTTCAATGCATTAGAATAAAAACAAATTATAGGGGCAGCAGCTTCTGGGGATTAATAGCAGTAGCAGAGATCCCAAGTGATAAGATTCAAGTAATATTATTCACGAGAACAAGCATTTAAGAAAATACATTCAGTTTCGTTTTCAAGCTTCCTGCTTGTTAAGCCACTGATTTGGACTCGGGGGAATCACATTTTATCAAAGCAGCAATTTGCACCTATCAGTCCATCGGCCGCCCCTTGATTGGTGATTGGTGTCCCTTTTTTTTTGAGCCGCACTTTTTATTTTCCCATGACACTCGTCTTGACTTGGCGGCTCGGCTTCATCGCAATCACAACTAATGCACAGCTCCGACTATCCAAGTATCCAAGTATCCAAGTATCCCAGTATCCGTATGGAGACTCTAAATGTCGAATGAAGTCAGCGATAAATTCAGCTGGTTGATTAGCTGTTGGAGCAATAAATCCATCGCTTCACACCGCCACAAGTAATTGCCGACAAAGCGTCTTCGTCGCCGTCTTCATCTCCATCTCCATTTCGACAAAAAAGCTCAAAGACTGGGAGACTTGGGTCCAGGCATCCATCTATTCTATCGGACTCTGGGGCTCCGCTGCGCCTCTTGTCTCCCCGGGTCTCCCCGCTGCCGTCTGGCAACTTCCCTCTTCTTCGAGTCCCGACGACTTTCCTGAGTAAGAATGTGTGCTGGCCAATATTTTATCAAACCTGACATTTCCTCGTGTAGCTCCGATTATGGAGCCCGGGTTGCGACGAGGTCGCCGGAGAGCGGCATTGATTGCCACTGCCCATGTGTATTTATTCCGCTGCTTATGTTTATGTTGACATTGACATATCTCGCGTCTTATCGGTTTGCAATAAGTGTACGCTGGCCATCGCGAAACCACTGCAGAAATGAGCCAAGTCGAGCCGGCATTGCTTTAACGTTCTGCCATAGCCATGCCGCCAATGTCGCCATCCGAGGACGCTGGCGACAACTCCAGTGCTCATTGGAGCCTGCGCCTGCTGGTGGTTCGAGTAAAATGGACAATGACCTGCCGCAACGCAATGCAGCGAACGAGTTTGATCATTGACGGTGTTAATCTGTTATTTTGTAATGAAATTAGAGGGGGGTACCATTAGTTTATTAAATCATTTAGATGGGTTCCTAGGTTTTACGAGTAATATATTTGCAAATAACATTTCTTGTATGCCCTTGCAGGGTATTACAATTATAGTCTGAAGTTAAAGAATTTCTACGAATTTGTCTTTCTTAGCTTAGATTAAGGTGAAGTTATTTTAAGGACGGGAATTTCTCTAAATTTAAACACTTCTGCATAGTCATTGAAGGCACCTAAGAGCACAACTCACTCATTACTAAATGACTAATATTAATACCAATTTGCACTGAATAATAATGACTGTATGGCCATGTATAAATATTTAAATATGTTTTCAACTAAGTACAATCGGTGGCCAATTTCCTAATGCTGAGCATAAAAGGCTTTGCGGTCAAGATTCATATTTACATAAATATTCAATTAAAACTAAGTACACCAGGTAGCATCATATTGGCATTTGTTGTAGAACCACTCTGTCATCCAAGCATTTTTCGTGGTCATATTTGTGATTTCCTCGGCCAAATTAAAGCTCTGCAAGTCGAGCTAAAAATAGATAAATATTTTGTAGTAAAAGATTTGATTAGAATGTTAAATTATTCCTACAATTGGTTTGGGGAACAGGCGCTTCATATCAATGCGATGCAGGTGCTCCTGGTGGGCTTGCTGTAGCATTTTGTACTGTGATCCACTGAGGCAGGCCAAGCAGAGGTCACACTCGTCCTTATTGCAGGACTTGTCGCAGTCGTGAGCAGCGCATTTATTCAAATCTGTGGCCAGGTTCTTTTCAGCAGTGAGCATTTCGCTGCTCTCGTTTAATCTGAAATTTAATAACATTTTTAGAAGAGGAATTTTCTATATAAAAAGTAATATATCTTACAAGCTGCCACTTGTTGCACTGAGAGGTCGAATTCCAACCAAATTAAAGACACTGTAGAGCACCTGTTCGTACAGCAGCGAGTTGGGCTTGAAGTGCGCCGAGGAGAGATTGGGCGACATGTTAGCCTCCATAAGGTAGACCTTTAGATCCTCATCGACGAACAGATCGAATCGCATTAGATCGAAGAAGTTGTGCGTCCGGTAGGAGCGCAGAATATTCACAATGTCCTTCTCCTTGGCCGCAATCGTTGTACGCACTATGTGCTTCACCTGGGGCCAAATTTTTGAGGGATCCATACCCTGATCCCTTACGTAGGCCTCGAAGACCGTGCGCATGCTGCCGCCAAAGCGATTGTAGAACTTCCTCAGCGAGGGAACCTCCCAGGTGGGCAGATAATCGTCACCCACTATGTACTTGTCCACATTTTCGGCATCGAAGGGGTAGTACTTCACGGGGCAGTATCGGAAGAGTACGTCCCCAGTGTAGATATACGCTCGTAGTGGATTGACAGAGGTAATGACCACATAGACACCTATGTCGAACTTGTGGCCATCGACGAGGTAAGGACGCTGCACGAACTCCTGCACAAACGAGTCATTGGACCCGAAGGCAATGTCTGCCGGTTCCCGCACCTTGATGTGCCTGTGTTCGTTGTGCTTCTGGACAAAGAGAGCCTGCGGATTGTCACGGGCATAGTCTAGGAATTCCTGACGCTGGGCGGGCAGACGGAAGGCTCGAGGCAGAAACGGCAGCTGCGTGGTGCACAGATCTACCTTGTTGGTGAGGTAGCCGCAGCCCGGGAAGTGGTTCACTACCTGATCCTGGCCGAGACTCTTTAGGCCTGGGTGCGTCAGAAAGGGGTAATCGTGGGCCCAGAGGAGATTCCAGCTGTCGTTTACGTCCACTCGCCGGTATCCGAATCTCTGCAGCACATTCACCACATGCACCAGGTGCTCCTCCGTGGGACTTCGGCCGAAGATGGCGTATGTGGGCGCGGCTTGCAACTGATCTTCCGCAGCATCCTGCGAGAGCCAGGAGAACCTGCTTTTGGCATGTGGCAACAGTTCCACCACCACCGCAGTGGTCACCGTGGCAGCCAGGAATATCATAATTGGCAGCAATCCAATGCTAAGGGCTGGTTTCTCATGATTTTCCTCCGTTGATTTGGCCAACTGAAAAAAGAGAAAGTTTTTAGTTGTTCATCGAAACTTGCATTGAATTAACGAAAAACATACTTTACATTCAGATTCCACCAGCTCCGGAGCACTGTCCTCCACTTTATCATCCATTTTTAGCCGAAGCCAAGTGCTATTTTAGAGTGGGGAACAAGTTTTATTTAAAACAACCTTTTTAAATCACGATCTCCACGGCAACAACAAAGGGAAATTCCCCCGTTTGCCATTCAAATGATGCGCCGCCACGGACTGCGCATGTCAGCTGTGTGGAAATTTCCCCTTATGGCGGCAGTTTCAAAAATACCATCTCTGGGGAAGGTTTGAGGGAAATTTATTGATTTTGGTTTTAAAATTGTAAATAATTTATTATCAGTCGCTATTACCAAGTTTTTCATTCCATTATTTCATTATAAATTATTATAATTATAAAATGCAACCTTAAAACTGAACAAAAATTTAGTGTAAATAACACCAACTCTTGCAAAGTAATAAAATTAATTCCATCCTTAATAATTTCATCTATTTAATAACAATTTTATAAATTATATAAAATCATATCTTTTTACGCTTTGTATTGTGATTATTTTGTCTCAGAGCCCGTCACGAAATATTTCAAAATAAATATGAAATAACACCACTTTAGGCTATTAAACAAACACTTTTTTTGTGATTTTAATGCTTTTGATTTGTTTTTCCCGTTTACACTGTAGAAAATGTATAAGCGTGCCAAGGATACTTTTGAGAAAAAAAGGATTTACAATCTAAAGGCCCTGTTTAAAAAAGTGGTCCGCATCATAAGCCTAAGCAATCCGTGGATTGAGTATGAAAATGACGAGCAAACTGTTTCGCTTAATGTCAAGAAAAATATATCGATGCGGGTGCGGTCGAAACACAAGTCCGGATTTCTTACTGCGGCGGTAATTAATATTCAAAATAAATATAAATTTTCATAAATGTAAATATATCAAAAATGAACTTAAGGAAAAAGCTATAATTCGGACACCGCATTCATCTCGCAGTATTCCGGATAGACGGAAATTGTGTTCCTTGTTCGCTACGCTCATCTGCTTCGCTAAACTGACTCCAGTAAAGTTTATTATGCAATTATTTTATTATTACATTTTCTGCAGAATATCCCGTTTAGAAATTGCGTGCCCGCTTAGTTCCAGTGATTAGGCTGCTGCCCTTAAATGCAGGACGAATTATTATTAGTAAGTCAGATGTTCCCATCACCTTGTTCTTTATTCTGGTGGGAGAAGTACACATGATTAAGGGCAAGGACAGTAATGTAAGCATTGAATCAAAGATATTTTTAAATTCCTTAAAATTAACCTCTTTAAATAGGGCAACGAACTTGTGGAGGGAATTTTCGGTCCAGGAGACATAATAGGCGATGTTGAACTTTTGGAAGGCTGCAGACGAACACACACCTTCAAGACGTCAAGTAAGCAGTTGTAACAAATATTTCTTAAGCCAAATAGGACATTTTATTGGTAGTTCATCACTACCTATTTATTTTAATTGTATAGCAATTAAGCTGTGCATTAACCTGAGGCTTCAATGAAATCATACTGATAGCCTCAATTTGATTTATTCGACAATTTGGGAATTCTTCAGAAATTCATCTTATCTCGGGTCAGCTTCAATCTCATTTTGATTCAGTTCATACCATTTAATAATAAATCTAAAATACATTTCATTGCACTCCCAATTTTATCGCACTTAAGGATGATAAGAAAGTGAATTAGGTAAACTGCAACATTTGAGGCTCATGTCGAAATAAATGGGAAATACATAGCCCAATCACGCGATTTACACATAGAACTGTGTGTGTTTTTGGGAATTTGTTGTGTTTTGTTGCTTCATTTGCGATTGCCTGTACCCACCAATTTAATCAGCAATAAACAACGTTAAGTCCTAATTCGATTCAATCAAAATGAATAACAAAATACCCCCCTCAAGTCCGTCACGTGCCAAAGCTCCCCAAGGCAGGTATTCGTATTCCATCGAATATAGGTTGGCCCGAAACAACACCAACGCCTTCCTTTGGCGCACTGATTTTTTCGGCTGTTTGTGTTGTTCAGTTGTTCAGTTTTGCCTGTGCCCCGTAACTCCTCGTGCTGGCAATCTTTCAAAAAACAGATGCACGCCACCAGTGCCACCAGTAGTGCCATCGGTGCCTCCAGTAGCTCCAAGTTCCACAATGTTCCCATTTCGAGTGAGTCCCTGCTATTGAACGCTTCACTTTGCACCTCGCAGCCTACTGCGAGCTACTGGTCCTCTTCGACTATGACTATGCGGAGATTCTCGGTCCTTATATGACGAAGGCTTGGGACGAGAAGAAGCGTGCCCTCAAGGCGCTGAATTACTTTGATTTTCTCGACGATGAACAGGCAAGTTGAAATGGAAAATGTATCCTTAAATATTTATATCGATTGACATATTTTTAAGCAAAACATTTTGAAAGCTTCTAAAACAGTTTATATGACTTTAATGTTTCCATACGATATTTATTATTATTACAATCATCTGCAGATCGTGGAAGCCTGCCGTCTGGGGAGTCTGAAGCAGTACAGTCCGCTGGATACTATGTATTGTGACGATGAGGGTTCCCTGACAAATGTACACTTTGTCCTCAGTGGAGAATGCCTCATATTGCAGTGCCTAAATATGACGGTGAGTTATTCTATCCACTACCAGAAACCAATTGCCAATATATGTATATGCATTTCCATACTACTTTAAATATATATATCATTAAGGTGACGATGAAAAAGGGAAAACGAGTTTTCCGACTGATGCCGGCAGAAGAAGACGAAACCTCGAAAATGCTCAGACAAGGCGTGAGATCCGACTATTCTAGCCTTATTAAACGTAAAGATGAAAGTACTTCACAAGCGGAAATGAATCGACTTGTGGCATCTTCCAGTGGAGAATCCTTGAACAAAGAACATAATTCCACCACGCGCTTGGTAAGTTTTTCTAGAACCCCTATGCCTAATATGAATAAATATTGGAGCTAAAATTATTATATACTATCAAATTGTCGATCTAATATATCAAAGAAAATATTATTTTATCGCACTTATATATATAGTATATTTACAAAAGTACTCCATAGAATATATATAGGATTTTGTGTATTGTTTATTTTTAATTTCACATTATTTTATAATTTCACAGATGCGTAAAATGAATTTGTTAGATATAGAAAAGTTATGCGGTTTAAGGAAAGAGATTTCACCGGCTTCATCGCATCATTCTGGGCGCAATGCTAACAGAAAATATAGGATGTCCATGTATTCGGACAAAAGTCATAATTTTCACGGAGAAGAAGAATTGAGTGAAGATTATTGGGGAAACTGGATAGATAATGACGAAGATGATTATGAAGATAATGACAGAGATGATTATAAATATAATGACAAAGATGATGTTAAATATAAGGACAAAGATGATGATGAAGATGATAATTTTAAATATGAAATCACAGCACCATTCCCAACATCACAATTACGTCTTAACCAATCCAAAAGTGAGGTCTCCTTAAATTTAACATCGAGTTCACATTCAAGTAAAGACGGTGAAATTGTAAGTCTTCGGAGATACTATTCCCTTTTCAGTACTTTTTGCAATTTAATCAGCTTTAAAAGCCTTTTAATATGTATTTAATAATACCGATGTTTATTACAGATGCCTTTTCTTGAGAGCCGCTTTATCGATGTGGGATCTATAACATTTGGAGGAATCTTTGGCTTGGGAGAGCAGATGAAGCATCGAGTGATAATGGCCAGGACTACGGTTCAGTGCCTTATATTGCCTAGATTTTTCCTGCTGGAGAATAAGCAGAACCCTGGCAATATGTGGGAACGTCGGCTTTTCTATCTGGATTGTATGATTCCATCGCGGGAAGCACTGTTTAAACAATTTCTCAAGACTCGGAGGTGGAAAAAATTCAAAAACGATTTTATTCGCCAAACTGTGAAGTTGTCACCTAATCATGGAACACACATAGATGATATTCCAATTATTTGCAGAATTGTAGAATCTGCAGAGGAGGACACTAATTTCTCAAAATAAATAGTATCAGGGGCAGATCTCACCTTTTCTTGTTAGGTTACAAAATGCTTTAAAATAAGCTCATTTTGACCTAACAGGAAAATGTAGCAATGTCTCTGTAAAATCTAAAGAAAATTGATTATTAATTATTAAAATATTAGTGTCTACTTAAGTTTGAGTCACCTTTTAACGTCACTTGTATTACGTATTTCGGTGGTATTTATAAGTCAGGAATCCTGAAATAATCCCCATAATTATGGTACCAATCACCTGAAAGTTTCCCAGAAGCAACAAGTTTCAGCTGGCGAAGTGTTTTGGCACCCAAGGTGTTGACATGGCAACACGTAGCTATCGAGGTTTCCAGGCACATACGAACACCTTCTTCGGTCAGTATTGATTCAACCTTTTTCCATGGATGTTGCCTGAAATACTAAAATGACGACGACGAGCTTACCAAGGGTTCCCGAGGGTCTAAGGGACCTAATGAAGGTCTACACCAAGGAAGTGTTACGTGAGAAACCTACAGATCTTTATGAGTTTTCTGCAAAGTTTTTCAACTTGATAGTTGCGGAAAAATCGCATCAAGTTGTGCGAAAATATGAACCGGTTCAGACTTACGAAACCATTATGAAAAATCGCATAAGACAGCAGGTGCCTATCTCAATGGTGTTCAATATAATACCCGAAACACTCACCGACCTGATTAAGAAGTTTATAAAAGCAGTTCTGCGAGAAAAACCTGAAAATATCTACATTTTCGCACAGGAATACTTTCAAAGGCTCTCGAAGGAAAAGTCCGGCCGTATCGAGTATACTAAATATTCGACATACGAAAAGTCAATTAAGGACAAAGAGAACATTGCTCCTGTTTCGAAGGTGACTTGCGAATGTGGCCGAGTGCTAAGTGCACAAAGCAAGGATCTTGGAAAGGCAGTATCCACTGAAACTACAAAACTAGACACTGACCAGACTACCCTATCAAATAGCATTAGCTATGTGAAATCGGTTGTCATTATTCAACGCCATTTCCGTCGATATCTGAAGCAAAAGAAAATAGGTCGTGAGAAAAATAAGTGCAATAGCGTGGAATACATGACAGCCATCATTTTAATTCAACGACAATTCCGTCGCGTTTTGGCCAAGAGGCGAGTCGAAAAACTTAAGAAGTCACGGCCTGGCCAACTATCCTACGTTAAGTTCAATGCAGCTAACTATATGAAAGCCGTGGTCGTCATTCAGCGACACTATCGTATATATTTAAAAAGGAAGCAGGAGCAAAATCGATTGAAAAACGGCCCAGTTTCCTTAGCGACAGCCGCTATTATAATCCAGAGAGCCTTCCGCAGGATGGTGGCTGTTAGAAGGGCCAGGAGAACGACATCCGTGACCGCAGATCCCGGAGAGGAGCTCAACGACAATGCCTCCGAGACCGGTTCCTACACATCCGTATCCACGGCTCTCCTCTCAACGGAATCGACCGAGCTGGGAATCGCAAGTTACGAGGAAAAAGTTCACCAGAAAATAATTCACGAGGATGAGGAAGTGGAGAACAATAACGTAGATGCCAGACTGGAGAAGGAGTATTTTGCGGAACCCATTAAAGGCGATGAGAAATCGATGGACTCAAGGAATCGAGGTAATTAACTATGCAAATGCTTTTCGATTCAAATGAATTATTGTAATGAAGTGGTTCTTTTTATATTCTTATAATTCTTATATGTGTTCTTTATAACCATTTGTATGCTTTTGCAGAAATACTAGGCATAAACTCTAAGGATAGCATCGAAAGAGAAAAGGAACTTATTAAAGACTTATCTGGAAATGAGACAGAGAAGCCGCTGATGTCGGTAATCGAAGATGAATTTACAGCAAGTAAAGACAGTAAACAACAAGGATCTAAAAATGAAACTACAAACAACAGTGAAGAATTACATCAGGAAAACGAAGAAATCGTTGCAAGTGATGCAGAGAAGCCAGCAGAAATTGAAGATGAATTTACAGCCATCAAAGCTGGAGAAAAACAGGATTCTTCTCCAGAAACTGAATTAAAAACTAAAAATCAAAGTTTTGATCTACAGCAGGAAACGGAAGATGAACTAAGAACTATTAAAACTAGCATTGAAGAACTACAATTGGAAGTTAAAGGTGATCCGGAAGCGGAAAGCGAAGTGACAGCTAATCCTGAAGACGATGTCGAAGATTCGCTAAAGTCAGAAGATGTGGTCCCAGAAGACAATGCGTTACCTCCTAATAAAGTTGAAAGAACTGAAAGTAATGATATAAAGGAACTTGCTTCCAAAGATATAGAAGATATTCCAATAATACAAGATGAAGTCAAAAATAATGGTAAAGACAACGATATTCTAATCAAAGAAACAATATCGTCGGCTAAAATTAAAAGCTCTGAAAGCCAAGAAATTACAGAAAAACCCATTGAATCAAAAGTTTCTCCTAAGGTTTCCATAGAAATTGAACTTGTCGATGATATGCTAGACGAGGATCTCCCTGATAGTAATGGTAAACCTTTAAAAATAAATAGATTTCTTTAAAATTAAATAAAAAAATAATAATTTTTTCATGTAGCAGTTAATTCCGGAAACGGTTTATCAGATGTTGATCCCTTGGAAGAACAACCTAGAAGTATGCCCACCGTTGAGATAGATAGTTTAAAAACTGTGTTAGCCAATCACAATCGAGAAGTCCGAGAACAAGGTATGGTATAACTTTCTTTAAATGCTATAATTTAAAATGCGAATAATACATCTTTTGTAGAATCTTCTAAAGAAACTTTCCCCGGCGAAGATGCTGATAAAATTGAAGATATTGAAAAACCAGCTGAAATCGATACTCAAGAGGATGAAATTTCTGCTGCAAGCAATTCCAGAAATAAACAGAAGGACGACTCCGTCATTAAAAGAGAAAAGAGAAGCCTGGATGATACAGAAAATATTTTAACTTGGCCTCAAATGGAGAACATAGAAACCCAGGAAATTTTAAATAAGCCGGAAGAGGAAACCCCTGTCATGGCAGAAGAAAAAAGCAGCATTGAAGTTACCGAAACCCAATCAAATTTAGAAGACCAGGATTCCTCAGCCAAACCGAAAAATGAAACTTCTTCTCTGACTAAGGAAAAAATTAGCATTGATGAAACAGAAAGTGATTCAAAAAAATTGAGCTTAGAAGCTATAAATCCAGACGACCCAGATTCAGATATAAATGAAATCGATCAGAAAGAAAACTCTAAAGGAGAAGAGCAAAAAGTAATTTCAAGAGCAGCATCGGAAACTGTTTCGGAAATGGAATATAAGAATAAAGAGGAAGTAGTGACTAAAACGGAAATAAAAGATCTCGTAGACGCCGAAACTGGAGAAATTACAATATACAAACCAGTAGAAGAAATTACTGACCCATTAAAGCAAGAAATTCCTACAGATCAAGCGCCCCAAGCAGGTTAGAATAAATAATTTTTTAGTAAATAATATAATGTAATAATAATTGACCATTCTAAAAATTGCGAAGATCAAAAGATTGAAGTGGAGACTGAACCTAGTGTCCTTGATGGAATAAGTAGTACAGAAACTTCAGATTTGAAAGGTAAATATTATAATAAATATATTTAACATCCAATTACTTAACATTTAATTTAAACAGAGACTAAACTAGAAGAAGGTGGAATAATTAATCATTTAGATGAGGCCGTGGGTCTTTTAATGGAACCCAAAGCTGGCCAAAAGCCAGAAACTATCGAAATCAGTCCAGCAGAGTCCACCAGTTCAGTTAGTGAGTAAATTAAACTATTTGAAAAATATTAATATATATTAATATTATATATATTAATATTATTAGACATAACCAATAACAATCTAGAACAAAATCTTGAAGATGCTTTTGATGCATTAGAAGAACAGAAAAGTTTCGAGGAGGACAAAAAACTTGCACACCAAGAAATCATGCCAATTGGTTTGGATCTCCCGGAAGTCCAAGATATAGCTGCAACTGGTGGTAATAACGGTAATATCAAAAGTAATTCAATAGATAATACAAATATTGAACCAGTTAACTCTAATCAAGAAGCAAATACTGGTAAGAGATATATCTAAACAACACTTAATTTTGATGACTTAAGTAGTACTCTTCGTAGATAAAGCTACTGTAGAAGATGAAAATAAAAACACAGAAAGTGCTATAATTTCTGCCAGTAAGTAATGCCTTAAGAACATGTTATGTATGAAAATTAAGCTTTAAATTTAATTTTCAGACAATGTATTTGGGGAAGATACTCTGAACTTATCAATGCAACCCGCCGAATCAGAAGGTTCGAAATGTACCCTAGACCCAATTGGTTTGTTACTCAAAATGATAATATTAAATATATTTTAAAATATGTATTTTTAAATAAAGTAGAATCGGGTAGTCAAGCTGAAGAAGAAAAAGTTACTGAGACGACAGAAAAGCCTACAACTGACAAAACCAAGAGATGTACAGAAAGCGATGTAGAAGATCCTACCTCAGCAGATCGTAAGTTTATAAGCTTTCTAATAAGAATTAATGAATTTTTGGTTTAGATATGAGTTGATAAAATATTGATTTGTCATATAAAAATACTGATAAATATCAATTTAAAGAATGCGAAAATGTCCAATAATTTGTATGCAATCTGAATAATTAATCATTTAGATGAGGCCGTGGGTCTTTTAATGGAACCCAAAGCTGGCCAAAAGCCAGAAACTATCGAAATCAGTCCAGCAGAGTCCACCAGTTCAGTTAGTGAGTAAATTAAACTATTTGAAAAATATTAATATATATTAATATTATATATATTAATATTATTAGACATAACCAATAACAATCTAGAACAAAATCTTGAAGATGCTTTTGATGCATTAGAAGAACAGAAAAGTTTCGAGGAGGACAAAAAACTTGCACACCAAGAAATCATGCCAATTGGTTTGGATCTCCCGGAAGTCCAAGATATAGCTGCAACTGGTGGTAATAACGGTAATATCAAAAGTAATTCAATAGATAATACAAATATTGAACCAGTTAACTCTAATCAAGAAGCAAATACTGGTAAGAGATATATCTAAACAACACTTAATTTTGATGACTTAAGTAGTACTCTTCGTAGATAAAGCTACTGTAGAAGATGAAAATAAAAACACAGAAAGTGCTATAATTTCTGCCAGTAAGTAATGCCTTAAGAACATGTTATGTATGAAAATTAAGCTTTAAATTTAATTTTCAGACAATGTATTTGGGGAAGATACTCTGAACTTATCAATGCAACCCGCCGAATCAGAAGGTTCGAAATGTACCCTAGACCCAATTGGTTTGTTACTCAAAATGATAATATTAAATATATTTTAAAATATGTATTTTTAAATAAAGTAGAATCGGGTAGTCAAGCTGAAGAAGAAAAAGTTACTGAGACGACAGAAAAGCCTACAACTGACAAAACCAAGAGATGTACAGAAAGCGATGTAGAAGATCCTACCTCAGCAGATCGTAAGTTTATAAGCTTTCTAATAAGAATTAATGAATTTTTGGTTTAGATATGAGTTGATAAAATATTGATTTGTCATATAAAAATACTGATAAATATCAATTTAAAGAATGCGAAAATGTCCAATAATTTGTATGCAATCTGAAAGGGTATATAAATTTGTTCTTCCCGAAGTTAGTTTTCTTTCTTGTTTTTTTGTTTTGTTGTTATTAAAATACGATTAATGAGATTATAAATTTCTAGAAAAAATAGAAAATGAGGAAAATAGAATTTTACAATCTCATGAAAAACTTAAGGAAACCGTTCCACTCGAGCCAGAAACCCTTTCACTCGAAGAGACCAGAAAAGATTCTTTAGAGGCCGAGGAATCGGAAGGTAATTTAAAGACTTTTATTTTTTAATTTCAAATTTTAAAGTTTGCCTATATATCTTTATTTAAACAAAGCATCAGATAAATTAAAGAATAAGCCAGTATCTATTGAACAAAGTCGCGAAGACTCTGGTAAGGCTTACTTAATAAATAACTAAGTATCGTTAAAGATTATATATATAATCTAATTCTTATTTAAGATACCATTTTATTGGATACGGAAGATAAACTAATGTCAACTTCATTGGACAAGACACCGTCTTTGGAAAGTTTTAAAAACAATGAAAAACGAGCTGAAGATTGTTCCGGTGCAGACCCTGCCCTTCCAATGGGTAAGTATTTTTCTTTATTTTTAAATTTAATTATTACAAATTTTTTATTTTAATTCCAGTGCCAGTATTAGAGGCAAATCAGACGACTTCTTTAAATGAAACAGATGAAGAACCCTTACCAAAAGATAGTGATAATGCTGAGAAATCCTCAATACCTATAAGTATTTCTGGCAGTCCTAAAAATAGTGAATGTATGTTGAACCTCTTAATATTTATATTCTACCTATATTGATATCTAAAACTATTTTTCTTTTTATGTAATAGATTCCAGAACCAAAGACGATGAGTCTATTGCTATGAATGAAACCAGTCTTGGCAATGTTAAGTCCAAAGATATTTCTGAAAGTCTAGAAGAAACAAGTATGTTACCCTAATTATGATACATAGTTTGTAATTAATTAAAAGGCTTATAATTAATAGAACCTGGAACCGATTTGGGGAAAGGGGATTCAGTTGAAGGTCCCATTGCAACCCAGGTTAATGATCAAACCAAACCAGAAGAATCCGAAGTCTCGAAAATTGAAGATGGTAATCAAACTTCCTCTCTGGAAAATACAACCAGTAAGTTGACTGTAAAAAAATCCTCTGGTCCCTAAGGTTTTATATTGATATTGATATAGCTCCCACATCCAATGAGAAGGCCCTCACAAGTGCTCCATCCCAACCCGAAGTAAATAATGGTAAGAATTCAGAGTCGAAACGTTCTTAAATTTGTTTTTAAATTAGCAGAAAAACTCTTCATTGCTTGTAACTAATCAATTAATTGGCACCCAAAATTTACCTACTAACCGTAATGAGATTGAAAAGAACACCAAGAAGTTGTCTAGCGCAAGCGTAAAAGATAAAGATATTGGCACCTTGGCATCGGGTCGTCTGGTGCCCACACCAATTGCCGAGCTGCAGCTCAAGTCATTCAAAGCTCCCAACGACGACGGTTCCTGGTATGATATCTATGTGGAGCCCAAGGTATCGTCCAATAAGGATATGGAAAACCCTCCACCATTAGTTACACCTTCAACAGACCCAACTGAGAAACCCCAAGAAATAACTCCCGAAATGGAATCCATTGTGGTTGCTGAAAGAGTTCCCAGTTACTATACACCCAAAGAAATTATTGAACCCAGTGCTCCAAAAGCTAAAAACTCCATCTCATTCTTTGTGTCCTTTGATTCGGATGATGGCAAGCCCAAGTACAAAATACCCAAAAAGTTTCGAGATCAAACAAAAAGCGCTACTTTAGCAGAAAAAAAAAGTGACCCAGAGCCCGAAAATAATGAAGATGATATCGAAGTTATTGAAGTCTCGGAGGGAGATCCCGAATACCAACAGATGGGTGGATCAAAATTGCAAACTATAATGGAACTTAATGAAACCGAATCAACAAATGAATGTAATAATGAAAGTTCCCCTTCACATCTAGAAGTAACTGAGTCCTCAAGGGATATTATTGTTAAGGAGCCTAGTGTTTCGGAAAGTGTTACAAGATCAAAAGATAAAAATTTTGTGAACTCTTCAAAAAGTGATACCGATCATTATGAATCAATTTATAAAACAGATATTCTGAACATAACAAGATCCGTTCAGATCATAGAAAGAACTTACAGGCGCTTTAAAAATCGACGATTACTAGACACTCAAGAAAGTAGCAATTACCAAAACCAAAACGAGGCTGCTAATATAATACAAAGGTGGTTTAGGGACCTTCAAATGAAAAAGTCCTCAAATGGAACCTCTGATATATCTCAAAGGACTCGGGAAAGTCTTGCAGCCAGAAAAATTCAAAGAGCTTATAGAAGATACATTGATAAATCTAAAGAAAGTAAGTCAGAAAAAGAACTTTTCGAGGAGAAAGCAGAAAAGGAACAAAGAGCAGCACTTATTATTCAAAAGGCTTTTAGGGTTTATTCTCAAAAAATCTTGGCTAAATCAAAAAAGCAATCCTCAGACCAGATGAACTTAAAGCAAAATCAAGCTGCTATAAAAATACAAAGGGCTTATAAAAGGTATTTAATGCAGGGAAATAAGCCAAAAGTGCTTCTTGACTCTGAGTCAGAGGAATCTATTACAGTTTCCAAGACAACGGAAGTTGATGCCAGTCCAAAAACGTTGGACTTGAACTCAGATAAGCTTATAGAGGAAGAGAAAACTCAGAGAGCTAATTCTAGTACGGTAGACGATTCACCAAGTTTGTCAGAATTACGTCAGCATCAAGCTGCTAAAAAATTCAAAGGGCTTACAAAAGGTATTTAAAAAAGTCCAACAAATCAATAGCGAGATTTAACTCAGTGTCAGAGGAACCTATAACAGTTTATAAGTCAACGGAAGTTAATGCTATTCCAAGTTCAAACAATCTGAAAGAGGAAACGAATATTCAGGAAGCTTATTCTACACCAAGTCTAGAGTCTAGTCTTGCACAGGACTTGACAGGTTTGCCAGAAGTAAAGCAGCATCAAGCTGCTGAAAAGATTCAAAGGGCTTTTAGAAGATATTTAAAACAGTCCTTTAAAACAGAAATTAATGACAAAAAATCCGAAGAATCCAGAACTGCAGAGAAACCTGTACTTAATATATCTAAATCGTCTACAGCCGATAGCGACCAAGCTGGGAGTGCTGCTCTTATAATTCAAAAAGCATTCCGGCAATATATGGAACGAAGAAAACTGGAAAATCTTGATGAGACCTCCCTCGATTCTATTACCAGTTCTCGCATAACGGCCATCGAGAACTCTATGTGTCCAACTGACGGTACACCGTCCGATAGTCTGATCCAAGAGGATATCTTTAGCGAAGATACGACGAAGATCACTCCAAAATCCGAGTGGTTTGTGGGATCCACTCGCATAGTACCAAGCCAGGGAGTCGTTGAAGAACCTATTGAGCTAGACACCGAATCGGATCCGGCTGAAATCACAAGTAAAACCGAGCTCGACACCAGCACGCAAGTAGAATCAGTTGAAACAGTAGATAGATCGCATGGCTCGCTTGAATCAAAATTAACTTCTGGTATTATCAGTTCCAAAATCGAGAATCAAGCCAATACATCTAAGCAGGATAATGCAGTCTCTTCTGGTTTAGCAGGTTTAACCGAGGCCCCTGAAGGCGGGGCTGGCTCCGCAGAGGATCATGTGCTTTTATCGCAATCCGATCTTGGCGGAATTTTTCAGCGTAAGTTATATGGAGATAAATCCTTTCCTCGAAGTATTTTCCTAAAAATTTTATTCAGCTCTAGATATCGCATCAACTCAAGAGCTAGTTAATGATTTCTTGATGAACGAGATTCGATTTTCTTCTGCACAAGGACCTTATCAGAATGGAAACCAACTGCAAGAAGTTGTGGAGGAGCCCTGCATCAAACGATCAGCTTCACTTGTTAGCCTTTCTGAAGGTGAGACTGGAAATGATTCCTCGAAATCGGAAGCTACAGGACTAGACACTCTATCCGCGGATACCATAGACAAGGTCACTGTCAAGTTGTCAAAGCCCGAAGAAATCATTGAAAAAATGGCACAGCTAAGAGAGTCTAGGTCCAGCGACAGAATCCTTTCTGCAGAGCCCAGTTTCGATGAACCCATTGTGAGACCTATGAGTTCCCTGCAGGAACAGGCCAGCTTGGACATTGAGGATGGAGATATTATTGTATACAACCGCCTTCAGCGGGACGAAACTCGAGAAAGCTCTGCCCAAAGTGATTCGGTGGTCTTCGGAGAGGCAGAATCCGAGAAGATCCTAGACAAAGAACTTGCCACTGAAGAGGAGTCCGGAAGAGTGCATCTGATGAGGCATTACACCATCGCTGGAGATGATCCAAGAGGCCTCTTCCGATCAGTGACCATTGACGATGCTCTGAGTTATGGTGAAGTGGGCGAAAAGGATCAAGATTCGAGCCTTGGCATAAACAGTACGAATAGTTTTTACTTGGACGACGAAACCTCAGAGAACATCCGCAAGAAAATGATGGCTTATTCGCTATCCGAAACGGATTCCGATTATTTTGACCCCAAAAAGATAAGCAAGGAGGACTTCGACATAGACACGGCAATGGCGGATGCGATGGGTACATCCACGGAAACCGAATCCACCATTGTTTCTGCAGCCACAAAGATCCAGGCGGGAGCACGAGGCTTCCTCACCCGGCGGAGGCTGCGTCGCGCAAGTGCTGGAACGAAATCATCAACCATGGACACCAAAGCGTCCTTTGGCAACGATGCGATTAGCGAGTCCTTGGAACGATTCATCGAAGAGGAGGCAGCAAAGAAGATACAAGCGGCATACAGGGTCCATACCCGCAAACGTAAGGGTAAGACCCGCCGGATGGAGGGTATCAGCTTGGAGAGCAATCTGGCAGCCAGGCGTCAGAAGCTCCAACGAGGTGATGCTCTACGAAATGACTCGACTCCCGATGATGAGAACAGTGGGTCCACCAATAGCGGACAGACTCAGAAGCTTCTGAAAAGCGATAGGCGAACCAAGGCAATGGGTAAGTGTAACTTCATTGAAGATCAGCTTAAGAGTGTTATTTCAAAAATTATAAATCTCTATTAAGGTTCCCATATATAATAATTAAAATTTCCCTAGAATGTGATAATCTCCCTAACTTCCAGGTGAGGCCAAGTCCAGAGCTGCCATGGAATTAAAATGGTTAACTATGAGGCAAAACTCAATGCCAGTTCAGATTGATTGCGAAGTTTTCAGAGTCATACCCAAGCACATGCGAAAACGTATAAAAAGCGCCGAGGCAGGCAAAAGAAAATAAATTATTCGAATATATATAAATACACATATATATCTTTGCTGAAATATATCTAAATTAAATATATAAACAAATAACGTAAAAATGTTATTGTTATTAAACAAACGGAAGAACGCACCCCGAAAGCTCATCCTGCTTATTTTTCTATATATTTAAACTAAATTATTTTATTCCGACTACGGATGAACGAATAAACATTGAACGGACTTGACAGTTTTACGATTGCAACCGAAGTTCGTAAATATAATCCCGTCTCGTTCTGATCTTTTCCACAAACTATATATTTTCAGATTTTTTCCAAACTGGAAAATTCCAAGCCTCTGCTCGCACTGTGTGTATAAAATGGGATGTTTGATAAATTAAATGTTTATTCACTGTATTCGTAGCATATACATACAAACTGACCCAAAAATAGGCCTACAGAAAATACAAACAAATGTCTAACGTTAATGGATAATGTTGTCTTTCAAGATTGCGGTTTCTTGAGTAGAGTATTTTATTCTTCTGGAAGCTATTAGATAAAGATATTAAACTATTTACACGACACATATTGAACTAGGCGGTAGGTATAACAGATTGCTGTGCAACAGCAAAATTTGAATACACATAATAATTGTATGTACAGTAGAAATCAGAGTTGTGCAACACGCCCAGAGTCACTACACAACGGGGTCGCATTGCTTTAGCTCCTTTCGAGCCTTGAATCCTCGAAAGCCAGCCTGGATCTTCACGGCGGCGTCGGTGGCGATTTTTTGCTTTTTGCGGACCAAGAACCCCCTGAATCCGGCTTGGATCTTGGTGGCGCAGCGATCCTCTACGGATTTTCCACCATTTTCACCGTTCGCCTTGGGATCGTTGCTGGTGGCATTGCTGGGCCGAGACGGATTTCCCTGATTTTCCATTAGAGCGTTGTTCTGAGGCCTTTGGCGTTGGTTCCTGCGGGTATTACTGTTCGAGAGGCGGTTGGTGACGCTGCCCGAGGACTTGTTGTTGCGGTGGATCTGCTTGCGAACGCGGTAGCCGCGGAATCCGGCCTGGATCTTGATGGCCGCACTTTCTTCGGACTGCAAGGACGATGCTGATTCCGGGGAGCTCGGGTAAATGTACATGATCCTCTGCTGCACGGCGACGAGAATGGATTTTGACTTGGCTTGGCAAATGTGTGTTCGCGTCTACTCCCAAAACTGTACGGATTGCATCTGTTCCGGATGAACTTGCTCGCTCGAGATCTAAAATTGTACTGACGTGCAACAGATGCGGGCTTGGCATATGTACGGCGAGAATTTTCATTTCATTTTCATTCACAAAACAAAGGCCCCACTCAGTGAGAATCCGCTCTGCCACTCACCTCCTCCCACACGTCCGTGTTCGCGCCTTCGTTGCTTTTTGTATCTATATCGCTGTTTGCTGTATTTGTATCCGCTAGATACATGTAGATGCGCTCTTTCTCTCTTGAAATTGGGCAGGAACTCACGGATGCTGGTGACGTTCAAGAATTTTTATTTCAGAATATGTAGAAGCGTGTTAGAAGCAATTATCTAATTTCGCCAGCTATCTGAGTGATGGGCAACCCAATTAAGCCATAAATAACAAACCGGATCGATTGCGTAATATCAATATCAATATCCTTTTCGCGAAACGAGCCCGAGTCGTGTTAAAAAGCAACTCATCACGCACCAATCACTACTTTGGATCACTGCGCATTTGTTTACGTTACTAGGGGCCTACGTAGCGGGTGGCGGCAAAAAATAGAGTAAATTGGTTTAGGTGAAAAGCGAGCCACTGGATACACACAGATCCATCCCCACCAGAGCCGTGGGCAATCAAATGAACATCGAGTGCATCGCTTTGTTAATGGCAACCGATGAACGTCCGAAAGGCATAGGGGTTAATTGGAAAATATGCACACACATGGGCACACATGTCCCGAATATGAATTTCAATTAAACCTTTATTGTTTGACGTTCGCATCATCTTGACCCTGTGTTCGAATGCAAAGTTCAAAGTTCCTCGATATTAATAAACGCACCACAAATACACATTTTGAACAAGTAGATAATTTCCTTTAATGGAATTCTCGTCACAATTTATTTTTATTTTGGTGGATTATTTTTCAGCCTCTGGGACTCTGGAAGTTTTTCAGAAAAATCCAAAACAACAAGTTTCGAATTTAATCAATAAATTATAGAACAACTTGACGTCATTGGGACCTTAAAACGCAGCAACAAAATGGCGTCATTAAAAACAAAAAATGTATCAGAAATAAATATTATTGTTAAGTCGTCAGAAATAATCAAGTAATTCGGTGGATGAATAAATATTGTGTGGTAAACAGGAATGTAAAGATTTCCTTCCGGAAATTCATAAATTCGAAATGCCTATGCATATATGCCATTGTATTTAAAAGGAATGAGTCTACGTAACGCTTACGTATTTTTGAAAATTCGTGCTCATATAGAGTACATTTCTGCGTTCGTATGTTTGTGGATGTGCATGCGCAAATATACTAATTGAGTTTTGTATAAAAGGAAGTAATAAACGTTCTCAAACAGAGGGAAAAATATTTTTAAAAAATTGGCAAGTGGCCAAGGTAATATGATTGGTTTCTGTGATTTGTCCGAATGACGTAGGCATACAAAACACACTCGAATGTAGAGCGAAATTGTTGATTTTTTGCAGAAAGTTAGAGGGCGCCGATGCCCTTCTACATGTTCCTCTGTTCGAGCATCATCAATAAACAAGATGTAGATCTTGCTTATAATCTAATTTTTTTTATGTAAACAAACTTGGATATTTATGTAGCCGAAAGTCAGAAGGCACGTCTGACTTATGCACTGAAAAATTATTAGGCATTTCGATATTCATTAATCATTTTTGAATTAAATCAAAACAACAAACAAAAACAATTCATTATTTGAGAATTTTTATTGTATTCATTTAAAAAAAAGCTGATTGTTTAAGAGAACATTTAATTTTTTAGACTAAGCTTGTTTTTATGATGAAACGTTTTCTGTTTCATTTTAAATTTTAAGAGCTAGGTTATACTACGTATTTAAGTCAAAAATAAAATGAAGCAACCTAAATTATTACCTATCACGCTAGTATTTTTTTCTCGTTAAAAACATATATTTTTAATGTAATTTAGAGTCAGAAACAAAGTGGTGAAATTTAAGTAAATTAAGTATTTATTAAAATTAAAATTGTATTGACTAAATTAAAGTGACTAAGTTTTAAATTTAATAAAGTGTCACCTTTTCATTACTCAAATTGCGGATCGAATCAATTTATTTTTCATGTTCAAATATTCTTGAAAATAAAAATTTCATTTTTAAATACCGATTAACGACAACACTATCGAATGTCAAGAGAACGCCACCGATAGAATACGAAGTGAGACTCGATGAATTTGATGTACCATCGATATTTTTGCAGCTATCTGAGAAAACAATAACAAAAATTTGTTAAAACACAATAAACAATTAATTGCGATGCGTTGGCCGTAATGGCAAGTAGTTCCAGCTCCGACGAAAGCTGCAAAGCCCCCGACAACTTCCGCATATCGAGTGCCTCCACGAACGGCGAGGAGGATGAAGCCAACGATGTCGCAGGATACATAACAAAGAGAAGGCCCACCGTCAAGGCAAAGGAGCCTCTAAAGGCCAATATCAAGGATGCAGGTGTTGGCATGCGATGTCCGCTGTGCCACAGCTGCAGCACCAACCGTTACCACTGTCGAAATTGCGTTAGAAACGGAAACATTACTCATAGCCAGGCAGAGAGGCCGGAAAGGTTCGATGGCTAGTTGCCTTATCGGGAATGTGTGTAAGCTAATGGATCGATCTTTGTTTTTTTTTCAGTTTAACGGAGAAGCAGCAGCGCTACATTAATCTGCAGGCGGGGCTTAAGACCTTCAGCAGCCGCTATGAAAGATTGATCGAACAGCACCGTTCCAATGAGAATCGCTTGATGGCTATCAAAGCGAAGAGAAAGCAACTGGAGTTGATCCACCAGCTGATCAACAGCACGGGCCACAGGCTCCGCGTGTTGGGTGAGCGGCGTGATGAACTTCGACGGGCCAACGCCGAAAAGCGCAAGAACCTGCCGAAGTATCCAGACAAGGTTAAGATGCTGGAAGACTACGTACTGGACAGAGTTGAGAAGATTGACACTCTGAGGGAAACCCATAGTCAACTCCTAGATGGCATTAAACAGGCAGCACGCCGCGGGATCCAGCAACTGGTCACCTATATATTCCCCATTGCGGAAGTGGTCCTCAAGGAGGAGCAGCAACGCAGGGCCAGCGTGGAGCGCAGCGAAGAGGCTGAAACCATTGCAGCCCTGGCGGATGCTAAAAACACCTCGTACATACGCGGCAAGTGGGTGTTCCATGGCAGCGGAATCAGCGAGGTTCAGTACCGCATCGTCGGACCTTCATTGCCGGCCAATGGTGATTACACCGCCTACCTGGACTGGCTTGCGGACAACAAAGACGATGTGCCGAAGGCCACGGCAAACGAGATTACGCCGAGCAGATTCGAGGCCTACCGAATTGTCGGCGCTCTTACCTACACGGCGCAGCTGACACAGCTGCTTAGCTTCTACCTGAACGTGCGGCTGCCGCACAAGATTGCCTACGGCGACTTCTGTCGCAAGCTGCTCAACGAAGAGCAGTTCCGGCGCAAGATATCGCGTCTCAACTCTAACATCATGTATCTGGCCTACACACAGCAAGTAAAATTGCGTGCGCTCAACGAACAGCACACGTTAGAAAACCTGCTGGCTATCCTCGATCTGGAGCGCAGCGATCTGGGACGATTCGGGCATCTGGATGTTACAAATGCGCCGCTCATGAAATCGGTGGACTCTCTACTAATCGGCATTGAAACGGCCACCGAATCGGAGTCGGAGGGTGAGTTTATATTAAAAATTAGTCAAATTTCCTTTTCTGCGCCCTTTCTCTATTATTTTTATAATTATAATATAATCAGGAGCTTGAAACATGGTGAAGAAATCATTTCCGACCCTAAAAATCAATTTATCCTTGATCAAAATCAACAGCCGTTTCGATGACATATAATTTCTTAATCAGATAGTTTTAACACAAGCTGAACTTTCTGTTCCAGACGAAAACTCCCTGCGCATGGACTGGGAGGCGGTGCCAAGCCTCACTCCGCAGCCGGAGCTAGCGGATCCCAATCAATTGCCAGCGGCCAACCAGCAGTCGACTATCGCCTTCGTGCGCATGGCGGCCACGTCGGTGCTGCGCTGGATAAAGTGATCCAAGGTTCTCCGGCGATATCAGGCACGTGTGTTATCCTTTACAAATTAGGCTAAGTAATCGTTTCTGTGACAGCGTGCAGTAGTCGCTGGTTTTAGCGTTATCTCTCGGTTTACAGAACTAACAATTTTGTGTAGTTCTATATACATATATGTATATAAATACATATATATAAATGTGTATGTTGTGTAAAAGGAGCACCTTGGTTTTACTTTTATTACATAACTTACTTGCTTTATTTAATAAAAATGGTTCTCTATAAATAAATATATAAACTTGATTCTTTAAATATTTGCAAACCACATGAACTTAAGAATTAAACGACATAATGATAAAAAAACAGTAATGAACTTTTATAAATGATTGGAAAGCAGAGACGGCCCTGCGCATAGAACACGATTGACTGACTGAGTGACTGACGACTTATGAAACCTACGTGTATGCCCTAGAACCTTAGATTATAGTCCACCCGGTAGCGGGCTGAGTGACCTAAACTATATAAACTTTGTGGGCAGTGTATGTGTGGGCGGGGGAGCGGCTCCAGGAGCGGTTACCGCGCTATCAACAGCGACTGTTGGTTGCGGCAGGCTGGGCTTTACAAATACTTGTGGCAGTGTGTTGGCAGATGCGGCCACGTGGGCGCCTTGCCCGGACATAGCTCCGTTGGTCAGCAGGTCATAACGTGGCGCAACACTCAAGGAGGAGAGCACTAGCGCAGCGGCCATCGCCTGGTCATGATTGTAGAAAGCCGTCACGGCAGCCGGTGTTGGCTGCTGTGCGGCCGGGGCCGATTGTCATTGGCGCGACGAGGATCCAGTGCCGGGGGATCCCATTGCACCGCCGCCGCCGCCACCCTTAACGCTGCTTGGCGAGAAGATGGACTGTGTGGGCCACTTCATTGTCTTTTCCAGCGCCTTTAGATCCGACATGGCCTTTATGATTTGCGACTCGGAGGAGAGATCGAACATGGGTCCGCTCAAGTTCCCTCCTCTGTTGTTATTGTTGTAGACATACATGTTCTTATTGCTGAAGCCGATATTACCAGAGGCTCCCAAAGACTTCCTTTGGGTCTTCGCCTTGACCTTGGGCGAAACATTTTGCGTAGGTTTCCACGCCGGATAAACGCCCACAAACTCAACGCCGTCGGACTCACTACTGCTGTCCCTGCTAACCCTGCTAACTGGCGTCGTCTGGGCCGCTTTGGATGTGGAGGTAATGACGCTGGTGGCAGCCAGCTGCTTGGACGTTTGCAGGATTTCGCTGGGGCATTGGTAGTCATCAAGATTGATCACATGTGCAGAGGGCCGCACTCCCACGATCACTTTGGTCTGTCCAGCGATGGGACTTTGCCTAGAAGTTCCATTGGGTGCTAGGGTGGCTGGCGAGATCACCTTGATGAAGTTGTTCTGAGGAGAGGCCACTTTCGCAGCCTTCCGGTTGGGCGAAGCCAGGTCCAAAACAGAACTGGCAGATGCAACGGCAGCGGCATTTAGGGCAGCTGCCTGGGCCGAAGTGCTGGGCATGGAGAGCAACGTATCCAGATGGGGCGGCAGGTGGTTGTTATTGATGGCTGGCACACTGACCGCCGCCGTGGCAGTCGGCGTCAGCTGGAATTGTGGTTGAGGCGACAACTGTTGCGATTGCTGTGGAACTTGCTTGGCCATCTTCTTTTTGGGCGGCTTGCACGTTGCCTTGACCTGATCCTGTAGCTTGCGCTTCAGGCTGTTGGAAGAGGCACTTGTGGCAGAGTCAGTGTCGGAATTTCCACGCGATCGGGGCTCCTCTACTGGCTTGGGGTAGTTGCTAGCCTGTTGCTGTTGCTCAAGAGCAGGTGCTGGCCTAATCGACGATGCCCCAGCCGTTAAAGCCTTTGTCTTTTCCTTGGATTTTCTACTGGCGTTCTTTTGGCGTGTGATCTCCCGCTGGAGCTCGTCGTACCGCATCCAGCCTGATGGCCAGATATCAACTACCTTGACCTTCAGATAACCGTTGATGAACTCTTCCAGCGAGTCCTTTCGTTTAGCCAACACGGCATAGGAGGTCCATCGCGCCTGATATACATCGTATAGCAGTTGACGCAGCTCGCTGGTCCACTGGAACTTCTTGCGCGGCATCTTCGGTGGCAGCTCGGAGTTTACGTCTGCCGCCCTAGAAAAAGAAGAAAATGTAGTTTTTATATTAATTTAAATTGCTTTACTAACACATGCTCTGCAAAATTCCGCAATTCCACTTCGTAGTTCGCTATCGCCTTGGGCATGATCACGGCCACAGCCTGGCGGAGCTTCTCGAGCGATTTTCTGGTCTTATTCTTCTCCTCCTTGGCCCGGACCGCCTTTCCCTTCCGCAGGATATAGTACTTAGGAAGCTGCAGCTGATACTCTATGTGGGAAAACACCATATTGCGTTCATTCCGATCCGTGCATAGTACTGCCTCGTAAACCCTGGAAAGCATATGTAGTTAAGGACTTTACATTCCAAAGACAATCCAGAAACTTACTTGAGCAGCAGTGGGGTGAGTTTGTCATCCAAACTGAACTTCTTGCCGCACATGTCTCGACTTCTGACTTCGTCCTTGAAGCTATTGATCGCACCCAAGGTGTCCGTATCCAGAGTGGCCGGAAGCAGGGTGTCGGCGGAACGGAGATCTTGAAAATTTAGATTAAAGTTTTATTTCTAAATGCTCCAAGCTCTTGTGAATACTCACTTTCCGGTCCCTCTTTGTCCTGTTTGGTTTCCCGCTTGTCGGCTCTTCCTTGCTCCGTTCCCGTGTCTGTGTCGCTGCTGCCGCTAGAGGATTCTACGTCCGTTGAGATGCACTTCAATTCGCCGTTGACGACGCTCTTAACTGCAGCCGGGCTGCTCTGCGATTTAAGAAAGCTATCTCGCTTGGCCTTTAGCATATCCTTCACTGTCGTCGTTTTCACCACCTTCTTAAGTGCTTGAGCCTGGGCCTGGGCCTGTGACTGAATCGGACCCGGGATTTGACTATGCCGCTCGTCCGTATCCGAGTTATCAATAACAATTGGTCTTGGCGAATTCGAGGATGAGGACGTGACCGTCGGCTTTTTGTGTAGCTTCTTGCTGCCGATACTCGAACTGGAGCTAGACTTCGGCTTGCCAGTGACAATGACTTTTGGCCGTTTGGCAGGATGTTTGTCTTTGTACTTGCTGGTGTACTTGACAGTGGCAGCGGAGTCCCCGTCATCAAGGCTTTCACTATCGGAATCATCCTCCTCGGAATCGCTTTCGTCATCCTCCTCAGAATCACTTTCCTCCTCCTCTCCCTCGTCCTCGCCTTCGACATCGTTGTCGTTTTCATCATCATCGTCGGACGATGATGAGGATGAGCTTTCAGAGGCAACAATTCGCTTGCGTGATCGTTCCGGCATTTTGATGATGGCATCCGTTCGTGTGGTATAGGACTTCTTATTACTCTTCAGCGTCACAATACCCTTGTTGATAAAGAAACCGCCCTCCTGGGTCTCCGTTTCCTCTGGTATGACCTCGTCGTACTGGATTTGAAAATAAAAAATAAAATCTTAAATATCCTTTACCAGAATACATCGCAAAACTACTAGTTTTTTTTTTTTTTTTTTTTTTTTTTTTTTTTTTTTTTTTTTTTTTTTTTTGCAAATACTAGGGAAGTCGAAATATTTTAAATAAAGTTTTCTTACAGCTTCCGTGTTATCAATGAAGGAGTCTGACTCGTCGTATCCCATTCCAATGTCCCGGTATTCGTCCTTTTTGCTCTTGCCCCTTCCGGTGGCGTAGGAATTGCCATACTTGGCCTCCAGCTCTTTGACGATTCGTGCCACATCGTCGTCGTTGTCGGCAAAGGGATCGGTGCCAGGTCCAATACACGTGTTCACCTGCTTCAGTTTCTTCGCTTTTTTCTGCAGGATAATCGATTTAAAACGGGTGACTCCTCCTGGAGCTCGTAAGATGGCACTCACCTTCTCCAAGTACAAAAGCCGAGAGTAATTAAACTCAGGATATTTGTTTGAATCACTTTCAAATAGTTCTAGCTTGATGCGAATGCTTTTCGCGGTCTTGACCGGCTTGTTACCGCTGTTGCCGATCGCCGCGGGTACCTCCGGTTCCAGGAAGTTGCTGCCGAACCGCGAAAACACCGCCTCGCTCTGGATGACAGATGTGAGGGAGACGCGTTTGTGCTCGGTCCCCCTCGACATTTCCGTGTTAATCGTTGGGGTCGTGGGTCGGAGGAATACCGCGGTCCAGCCTGTCACCTAGCCTTCCCGCCCTTTTGCGAGCGCGTGTTCCGATTCTGCCTCTCTTTCTCGGCGCCCCTTCTCTCTGTGGTTCTCTTTGTGTCACGCAGCCAAACAAAAACAACGGGAACGTCGCCGTCGCTCCTCCTCCTCCTTCTACCAGTGTTCTCTCTTCTTCTTGTATTTTACTGCTGGGATGTCTGTTTCTGTTTTCTGCACGTACACCAAAAAATCAACCACTACACAATCGGTAATAGAAGCGGCAAATGCATCAAAAATCTTTTAGAAAAACAACGCTTATCAATGTAAACAAATTCTATCATAGTTGCGCCACTCGGCCGACTTTGCAACTGCATCCGCTTGGCCACGATTAATTATCACTTTTGCTGGTCGCGACCCGTCGACTCTCGTCCCAGTTGCAAGGTAGCAATTTTTTTGGGCTTTCAGCTCGGTTTCGAGTGCGGCCGGCACAAAAACAACACAATCGGGGGCGGCAGAAAACCGCGAACCACACACACCGATCGACGCTGTTACGGGATCACATTTAACGCAAGGGTTTTAACTCTTTTGCACGGCTGCGAGCGGGCTTCTTAATTTGTTTCTTATTAAAATCCCGTGGCCGTCCTCAACGCTATTTCTCTGCTCTCCGCCCCCGCCCCGCGCCTATATGCGGCGACCTCTGTTTGGCGGGTTTCCAGCACTGGTCGCGGTTTTCGCGAATGATAAGACCCTGTTCACACTTGTACAGTACCTTGACCACTGCGATCAATCCGCAACTTTTCGTATGCGATTGCCCCAAATAATTTTAAAATTGCGAAATTTGTAATATATTTATTTATAGATAAATACAATTTTTAGCGTCAAATTTTGGTAGCAATATTTCTTATTTTTAAATGTCCTTTAGGTAATAACTGTAGTACGAATATTATGGATTGCATACCCTTACAGGGAAGTTTTATTTTCCTGTATCGAAGATCTCTGTTAAATTACAATTTTTCAACATCAACTAGATGCATCTTTTACTACGCTGCGTCATCTCAGCGTGTACATGATATAAGTTTCTTAAATCGCTAAACTTTTACCAAAACAAGCTATTTTTAGCTGGAACATAGCCAACCGCCAAATGCATACCTGGACAGTGTGCACATTCCACACACATTTCAGGTTTGTTTTGGCTGAAATATTGCCACTTTTCAACACTGATCTGACCAGCTGTTCGTTGTGGGGAGGGTCGAGGGGTTGTCGTTGTCTCCCCACCAATTTTGTTTTGTACGCGGAGCTGTTTACTTGGGGAAAAAAGCGAGTGCTCATACAATTAGCGCAAGTGCAAGTGAGTCGTAGTACGTGTGGATTATTATGTGTGCGCCAGCTCCAGTAAACAGAATTGCATGCACAGAAATTCGGTCGAAACTGCAAGCTGTCATTATAACGGGACTACTGGCCGCTCTGGAGCGAAAGCGATTAGGATTGTGCAATTAACAAAAGTGTGCCCTGCTGCTCTTTTCACAATCCCCAAGTGGCTCTCACACAAAACCACACACACTCGCATGAGTATTTATGCTGCCTTTATGTTTGCAGCCCCCCTTTCTCGCCAGTATATAATTTGGATATATGTGTGTGTTATTTGAGTGCAAGTGACCGAAGCCACGACAACCAAAGATCAACGCACGCACAGAGTTCCAACAAAGGCTGTCCGCTTTAGTGGTCCGGTGACTTTCGCCGGAGAGGTTACTCCGTTTGGCTGTTATACTCCCTACCCACAGTCACATTCCCACCCGCACCCATATCCAAGGGCCGCCTCGTTCGGATGGCAAGACAATAAAGGAGCACAAAGAAAACAGACTGAGAGTAGAGCTCCTTTGTCGCATCTCTGGAAATTCATTTGCCAGTGAACCATCGGTGAGTAATGTCTCCTAAATTTACCTAAATTACTTTGGTGTCGTCTTGTACCGTTGAAACTACAAGCTGTGTGTGTTGTGGAAAAGTGCAAATTGGAAACAAGAGACCTCCATTATGCGATAAGAATTGCTAACAACAGGCGAACTCGCGTAACGGGAACTTCCTAAACCTATGTATAGAATTTGTTATTTATATAACTTTGTGGTGCCTACTAGTTAAAGTTACTCAGACTTTTGTTGCTGAATGTACTTTTATGCGTCTATAATCAATTTCATAAGTTAAAAATTGACTGTAACTTCATTTCTTGAACAGTTTGTACATAGCTGAATCCGGAGCTTCACTGTGTCGAATTTGTATTTAAGGTGACACAAACGGGAAATATTGCAAGCTCCTGAATTTGCGTTTCGAAAAACACCATATCAAAATGTAGTGCCGACCTCAACCTTAAAACACATTTCAATAAAAAACCCAAAAGAAGAAATTTCCCCTTGGGAAACTAGCAACTTCTATTATGCGATAAAAATTGTTAATTGTTCAAGATTCTAGATAAAATTTAAGATTATGTAGCCCAAGGCAAATAATGTTGCTGAAATGTTAAGCTCCCAGGCAATGAGATTCCAAATACCCTTATATCGTAATGGAGCTCCGGCAAACGACCTTGAAACATGTGGCCGGGCTGTCAGCCAAAATTGGCTTAACATTTTTTACCTTTTCAAAGTGTTATGATTTTATTGAAACGTTTGCAACGCTAAGAGGGAGAGGCCTTTTCGATTAAAGATCATATACATGTTATGTCACCATTAATTTTAAACTCAATGCGCTAATAAAAACTAGTACACAAAAATGATCGCGTAAAAATATGGATTTAAAGTCCCTATAATTCAAATATTTATTTTAGATCTTTTTGGTAGTATATGAAGGCTAAAAGGAAAGTGCTTGAAAAGAGCGATATGATCCAATTGAAGGCTGCAAGGGAATACTATCTTCGGCTTTGGGAATTAGCATGTGCATTGTAGTCAGAAGCTTGTAATGGTGTGAAAGAATTATTTCCGACCCTATACATCATATACATATATTCTTGATCAGTATCAACAGGGATTTCCATCTAGCTATGTCGTGTAAAGAAATAAATTTTCTAACTTATTTTAAAATTTTATAAGGGGTTGCATCGTTAAAATTTTGTCCAAAAACTGAAACTTAAATTGAGTGTGCAGATATATCATTCTTATAAAAAATAACATAAAAAGGCTTTCCGAATTAAATTTAGTGTTTTTTGGCTGTGTCATGAGGTTTTTAAACTTTGATTTGTCGGAAAAATTGATTTAAAGAATACGAATATATTAATAATTCGATTTCCGATTTGATCCTATAATTCAATTGCAAACTGCAAGGGTATATAAACTTGGACTTCCCAAAGTTAGTTTCCATTCTTGATTGTTATTTATTTATTTATTTATTTTTTTTTTTGGAAACACAGCCATTAAAGGCGGCAGTGGGTTTTTCATTTGAATCCAGACAGTGACCACAAACAAAAAATCAGCTATTCACATAAACAAACATCAGGCAGAAACAAGTGAGCGTACAAATTGAATTTACTTTTAATGCGTCATTATTGCCAATTTGTGACACGCTCGAGCTGATTTTCTGGTGTATAAACATATGAAAATAGTTTCACATTCGATTTCAGCGAAGCGAATTTGTTGTAGTTTACCAAGTTTATCAAAGATCTGAGACATGAATGACAGTAAAAAAGTAAATTAGCAATTGTTTACGTTTAGACGACAATTACTTTTTTACGCCTATTTCTTCTTCAATGAGAAAAAAGGAATTAAATAAGTCAGAAATGACAATGGGATGGAATAATTGGATTAATTATTTTAAATTAAAAGAAACAAGCCAAAAGAAAACTAAGTAAAAAGTAGCAATAAGTAAAAAGAAACAAAGAAGCATATGATCATAAAAATCCAGTGAAGAAATTGTTATCAGAAGTCATTGAATTGATAACTTCGGATGTCCCTTGACATTCCAGACCAATTAATACCTATGTACCATGTCGCACAGTACTTATCAGCTGAAGCTGCTAAAATTTATAGATGATGCATACCTACATATGTACATATGTATATAGGTAATGATGATGATCATAAGTAATAGTAATAGTACTTCCAGTTAAAAAAAAAAATTGACTCTTAATCCACAGGAAATATATTTAATTCTACTAAGAATACAGCAGTTAGTCATTAAAAAAGGATGATTGGCCCTAGATAGCCCCATAGATACCATCAAAACAACAATTTATCGCTGACACATTCATATATCTTACGTACTCTCTGCGCCACACAATCAACAATGAACATCGAGTACAAAAAGTGCCGCTGGTGGTTGCCACCACTACCACCAACACCCACTCGTACCCACTATATGTACAGTTCCATTTTTAAACCGATGACGCATCTACGGAAACAAATTACAAGGGGGACACTGACAACTTAGAAAGCATCATTACCTAAAAACTACGACTAGGGCCCATCGATGATAATGTTTTAGATATATAACATTCGATTCTCTATTGACATTTGCAGTGAAAAGCGATGACGGAGAGCGAGGAGTTGATGAATAAGTACGGCGAGCCATTGCGCTACGACCGCAACTTCACGGGACCTCGGCAGCGGGATCGCAGCTGTACGGATGTGCCCTGCCTGCTGCTCTTCGCGCTTTTCCTGGCTGGATGGGGCTTCATCGCACAGTACGCCATCAAGCATGGTGATCTCAATAAGCTGATGGTACCCACAGACTCATTCAACCGCAAGTGCGGCATCGACTCCGGCGTACTGAACAAAAAGAACCTCTTCTTCTTTAATCTGGAGCAGTGCATTGATCCTTTAGTTCCCCTTACGGGCTGTCCCACACCCCAGGTGAGTAACGTAAAAGATTGTATTTTGGATATATTAATGCAACTGCTTATTTCTCTAGATATGTGTGGAGAAATGTCCCAGCCAGACGTTCGTCTGGGACACAATGAAGAATTCGCTGAGCTTTGACGATCTGCACAGTCGCCTTATCTGCCTTACGGAGGAGACCAAGGCGCAGATTCGCAATAAGGAGCAAATGAACGATGCCATCCAGAAAAACTTGTGTGCCCGATGGTACATTAAGAGTGCCCCCTTCCTCAACCGCTGCCTCTTTGAGTTTTCACCACAGGTGTGCCAGTATATTCCCGCGTTCCTTCTAAAAAGCGGACGCTCCCGACGGGATCTAATGCTGTTGCCTGGAAATGCCACCACTGAGATCGAGCTGGAAGCCAAGGTCATGGCGCTCAGCATGGCGAAGGCACAATCTCTAGTCGCCCCCCAGGTAAATTCCAAGCAAGCACCGGTGGAGGAGGAGCCGGCGACTCAGTGCCGACGCACACTCAACGAGGCTGTAATTAAGGAGAAGATGATGCAAACGGACACGCGGCTAGCAAAGATGGTGGGCAACTTGGTGGCCCATTTCTACAATGGTACCCACGACGCGCAGCGATTGGGCGAGGAGATAGTCGAGGATCTGGTCAACTCCTGGTCAATTGTGCTGGTGGCATGTTTTTGCACGTTGATTGCCTCACTCATCTTCATATCTCTGATGCGGTGGCTTTCGGCTCCAATCTTATGGTTCTCCATCTTCGGCGTGCTCATTGGCCTTCTGGTAGGCATTTACTACACCGTGAGGCAGTACATCTACTGGGAGCAGACGCCCACGGTGCCGGTGCATGGCTTGAATCTACAATCTACAGTTAAGAATGTGCTCCAAAACAAAAATACCTGGCTCTACCTGTCAATATTTGTGGCAGTGTGCTTCGTGGTTATCTTGCTGCTGGTCATTGTGCTGAGGAAACGCATCCGGATAGCCATTGCTCTAACGAAGGAGGGCAGCAAGGCTGTGAGTAGTGTGATTAGCACTGTTTTCTTCCCCATCTTCTCCTGGATACTCTTCATAGCGGCGATTGCGTTTGCCATCGGTGTGGGTTTATACCTGGGCTCCATCGGCCAACCCTCGTTCAGGATGGTGCGTCAGTTGACTGCTGATGGTGATGTGACGAACGAGCCGTGCGTCTGCGAAGGTCCAGCCATCAATTATACGATCGGTGGATCCTGTTATCCGGAAGTGTTCCAGCAGCATTGCTACAACCCGCAGGCCTCGACTTCAGGATTTTTCCAGCAATCGCAACGAGTCCCCTGCTCGAAAACTACATGCAGCTTCGATTCTATTATCAATCCGCCAATGATTAAGTGGTTCATCTTCTACAACGTCTTTGGATTCCTCTGGCTGAGTTTCTTCATTTCGGCCTTCAGTGACATGGTTCTGGCAGCCACCTTTGCCCGCTGGTACTGGACCTTTAAGAAAAGAGATGTACCCTATTTTACTCTCACAGGAGCCTTTTGTCAAACTGCCTTCTACCATCTAGGAACGGTGGCTTTCGGCTCGCTAATCCTGGCCATCTGCCGATTGATTCGCCTGGTGCTGGAGTACATCGATAGCAAGTTGAAAAAGTACGACAATGCGGTGACGCGGGCCATCCTCTGCTGCATGCGTTGCTTCTTCTGGCTACTGGAGACCTTCCTGAAGTTCCTCAATCGGAATGCCTACATCATGTGCGCCATTCATGGAAAGAACTTTTGTAGCAGTGCGAAGGACGCGTTTAACTTAATTATGAGGAACTTTTTGCGTGTAGTCACGCTGGACAAGGTCACGGACTTTTTGTTCTTTTTGTCGAAACTACTGCTTACCGCTGGAGCGGGTGTCGCCACCTACTACTTCTTGGTCAATAATCCTGCCATTATTCAGCTACATCATAATGCGGTGCCCACAACGGTGGTGGTAATTGCCGCCTTCCTCATTACGAGCGTGTTTTTCGGTGTCTATTCCACGGCCGTGGATACACTGTTCCTTTGCTTTCTGGAGGACTGCGAGCGGAACGATGGTTCGCCGGAAAAGCCCTTCTTTATGTCCAAACAGCTCATGAAGATACTTGGCAAGAAGAACAACCTGCCGCCGCGCCAGCGTCGTGGCAAGTAAGAAATTCCGACGGGAAACGGAAGTGCAAATTATCAGTTAATTGAAAAAAGATTTACATACTTACAATTTATATATTTATGTATAATATAACCCAAAATCGATAGGGTTGTGAGCGTGATTGCTCAAGCTGTAGGTTGCAATAGAGACTGCATGAAATGCAAGCAGCTGTAAGCCAATACTCTTAAAATTTACCGGTAAAGCTAATGTATATAATACGCCAGTATATATAATATTTTTTTGCGGCAAGGCCTGTGCGATCGAACGGACATGTGATAGGCGCCCAATCCATAAAGACCAAAAGCAATATAAAACAATACAATTTATACAGACACAAAATACATATCTCATTCTTTAGTTTAAACTTTAAACTATTATCTCTCGTTATATCAGATAGATTATTATTTTTTCGAATTTAATAAAAATTGAATTCCATGAAAATCATTACTTTTACCATTTTGGTTTTTCATCATTTCTTATATTCAGCTCAAATCACACATTTCAGAAAGTCTGATTTTGTTGGAAAGCAAAGGGTGAAGAAGCCGCGAATACTAATAATAGTTTTAAGGATTTTTTAATTTTAAATATATATAAATACCATATATAATAAAGTCTTAATACTGCCTCAATATGTTTTGATCTTTAATAATTGTCTGAAACGTTGTACTTCATATCTTGTAGGATTTTACTGGCGATGTTTTATGAGTTATTTAAGTGATGGAGGTTATTAATACACTTTTTATTAGGATTTAAGAATTCTAATCTTTGAGAATTCATTTATTTTTTTCAATTGTCCCCCCTATATGGCCAAAATTCAAAATTCGTTAAACCGACAATGTGACCATTCTTTTTCACCTCATCCGCAAGCTATTTTGGTATTTTCCCGATAAGCCACTGCACCCCGTATTATTGATTGCAGGAAGAAGAAGCAGCAGAAGCAAAAGAAAGGCGCAGCTCGCAAAACCAAAGTCAAAACTTTTTCAAATCCGAATTTGTTGCAAAACTAAACTAAGTTAAACTTATAAAACCCGACTGGGCATTCTTTAGAGTCCGGGGAAGTCCCCACCGAGTGGTTTTCAACGTTTTAAGCGCCCGTTTTCTAGAGAGAGCCTTCTAAGTTATAAATTAAATTCGCCGATTCAGCGAGAGATACTTCGAGAAGTCCTAAAGCCATATAGCAACCAAAATGACCAATCTGGAGAAGCAGCACGAAATGGTTAGGCACAGTCTGGTGCAGTTCATCAGTGGCCACATTCCCGGTGCCGATTTCAGTGTTGTAGACGAGATCGTCCTGTCGTACATAATCTCAATTCTGGAAGAAGCCTCGCAGGACCCCTGCTTTGATGTGGAGGGCTTTGTAGAGATGATGGGCGCCTACTTCGAGGACTTCCCAACCATCGACCAGGGCGTGATCTGCGAGTGGATCTACAAGCTGGCCAGCGAGCTTTCCGCTGTGGAAAAGAGCCAGGGCAGCCTGGACGCTGTCAACTTGTCGCTGAGGTAGGTTTTCACTTTCATCATACCCTGAGTTGAGTGTAAATTGCTGAAGTATTTTTTACAGCTCTCTGACCCTGTCAAGCATCATTCCGGAGTCCAAGCTGCGTGCCCGCAACTCTTCTACTTCCGAAAAGGACGAGTTGTCTTCGAACAGCAGCAGCAGCGGTGGTGGCGGCAGCAACAAGCGCTCGCAGCATCTTTCGGAGACCAGTGATGGAGGCTCCACCGACAGCTCCAGCTCGACATGCGACTATTTTCTGGATGAGGCCGAGGTGTTGCAGGAAATGTTCCCGGATGCAGCTTATGCTGAGGTAAGGATAAATATGGTTTGACATTCAACAAAATAATCAATAAAATACATATATATGTAATTTTCCTGAATATTTCCCAATCTCCTAGATCAAACACTGCATCGCTATATCCAAGGGGGATATCGATAGCGCCACTCAGATTCTACTGCATCGCCAGGAGACCAACCAGTGCATTACCGATAAGTCGCATACTGGATACATCAAGAAGAATGTGGTGGTCGACGATAATGAGCTTAAGAATCGGATTATCGCCAGGTGAGTGTTTTGCCTTTTAATTACCGGAGCTGTTGGTTAAGTTAAAGCAATGTGAAATCATTTATGGTTGTTCCTTATAACAGTTAAGACTATTATTTTTACAAAGCTAATACTTGTTTGATCTTGAATAAGTAAACCTACAGTTCTAACAATCAAGACAAGACAATCATAACATGTTATCGCCGTAGGTACTCTTATGTGGACAAGAACGCCACCCAGCGCGAATACAAGCCGGTGGTGCCAAAGATGGAGCCGCGCAAGCTGGTCCGCTACCGGGACAACAAGATAGTCTCGCTCAAGGGCGAGCGCTACACTGAGATCAAGCGTGACGAAGATGCTGAGTTAAAAAAACCCAAGAAGCAGATTCAACCGTAACTAAAGAGGAACAAAACCCTCTTCAAGTATTTTATCAAGAAACAAATTAATCCACACCCAAGTATCTTATCCGCACCCAAGACACCGATCTTCGCCAGCAGCAGCTGCAAAAGCCCCTCCAGTAACCGCAGCCGCAGCACTCAACCTCTTCTCGAGCACATTTTATGCAGTCAGATGCATATCGCTGGGATGATCACCGCCAGGAGCCATGTCACCAGCTATCACAAGTCCAAACCAGTGATCCCAGCCCAGCTTAGCCAACGTTTAGATGCTTCCCAACACAACGACGATGATGATGATGAGGCAGAAGACCCCAGAGACAAAGACGACAATGACGATAAGCAGCCACCGAGCACAGCGAAACGGTTCCCCTATCCGAGTGAGTACGGCCAGGAGTATGTTGTGGCATCGGCCGGTATTTTGGTGGTAATGTTGCTAGTTGGTCATTGGCATTGCTCCTCTCATCACGCCCATCATGAGCCCCTTGACAAAGACAGAAAGACTTTACATACCAAATTAGTTGATAGTTATGCTTTAGGACTACTCACTTATGCAAATTTTCAGAGCCCGTCCGTCGCGACGGCTGCCTGCTTATGAGTCCTGTTGTCAGGAGCAGGTGGCTCGGATGGATCCGGTCTAAAATCCGGCACCGGGGCAGTTACCAGTCGTCGCTTATGACGACTGGGGTCGCGCCTGCGCTGTGACGTCTCCTCAGTTCCTTACGCAAGCGAATTCGAATCGAACCGTATCTGTGAAAATCGTGAATCTCAAACTCTTTAATGCCCTCGAACAGTATTGTTGCCCCTGAACCCTGAACCCAAGGAACAGCCGCAGGTGCGACACCAACCCGAATTTGGCGCTCAAATAGACTTATTTAGACGTTTTTAGGTACTCGAATTGAATTGAATTTTGTTGGCCGTGTGCGTGTTTCAGAAACGCAGCTGCACAAGAACCTTGCCATATCTGTTTAAGATTTGTTAACCCATTTTGTATCGTAAAGCTAGAAACACACGATGCAAACAATTTGCAGCAAGTTGATTGCTGCATACAAATTTGCACGTTTAAACACGAGTGAAAACATTTTGCTGCAAACAAAAAACTTGCAAAGTTGTTTTGCAGCAATATTTGTTGCTTGTCGTCTGTATACATTTTTTGACAGCTATCTTGGTTGCGTCAACTGCTTGCTTGTTTGCATGTGCTGTTTGCTTTCAGTCGTAGTATTGCAGCAAACAAAGCACAATGTGGGATCGCGACAACATAATAAAATTAATCGAATTGTACGAGAATCATTCAGTTTTATGGGATGTCTCATCAGGAGATTATAAAAACAAACATAAGAAACAAAATGCTTATCGCGAAATCGCTGAAGCACTAGGAAAAAGTGATGATGAAATAGCCATGCAAAAGTTTGCGTACAAAACAAAAATTTATTGGAGCAAGAAATTTTCTTGCAATATTTGCATAGGTGTAAACATTTGTGCAAACTTTTGCTGCAAATTATTTTCAACTTGCTGCAAATTGTTTGCATCGTGTGTTTCTAGCTTAACACGTAACACAAAAGTTTTGATTCCCCTGGTCCAAGCAAACTAGCAACAGTAATCAAGCCACCAAAGCCGCAAGCAACACAAACTAGTCCTCGCCGCCCACTGCGAAATCTGGAACCCATAACCATTCGGCTGCTGCTCGGCGGAAGACAGCAATACTAACAGTAATCTAAACGTATTCAGCGTAAACACACATGTATGAACTAATCAAATAATCAAATATTTATATAGCCGTAGCCCCAAATCCTTTCCGAATATTGTAACGATTGTGAAATACCCACGATTCATGTTAGATGTAAGCAAGCGTCCCCCACGATATTGTTCGGCAGCTTTCAATTTGTCGCTTTTTGTTTGAGACAAAAGATATATGTACACGTTTTCCTATCATTTTGTATGATTTCACCTAGATTTAAACTACTCTCCCGACCACCGCTTTATTTTAATGTCACCAATTGCATTTTAAGCATTCGATTTTATTTAAGCCACCACACACGATTGGTGTTTTAACCATCACACGTACATATTCGTATTTATGTTGGTTTCGGTTTGATATTAAAATATTTTATATTTTTAGTTTTATATATTATTTTTGTGATATTAGCATAAAAATCAACTTTAAACAAAAGGCAAAACACTTGAATTAAACTTTTGAAATTATTAAATAAACTACTATCAATATTAAACGCAATCAAATTTCTTCTAAATAATTAAATGTGAGCCAGCATTTACCAATGTGGTTTAAAATGAAGTTTGGTAAGTTTTTTAATAGGTAAAGCTAAATATATATAAATTTAAATTAACTATAACGGTAAGTACTCCCCTGTTTTGAACTGGTTCGTTTGCAGTATTTTCTTGTATTAGTAGCTGAAAAACATGGCGTTGTCCCTGCAGCTGGTCACACTGCACGGTCGAGTTTTTTCGCACAAGATTTTCTAGTGGAGAAAATCCATTTTTTTGTGCTGAAATGACCACAATTGCAGATTTATTCACTAAATATAATTGCACTAACTGTCAGGACGACATCCAGGGCATCCGGGTGCACTGTGCTGATTGCGAAAACTTCGATTTGTGTCTCCAAGTAAGTAATTCACACATACACAAAGTCAGGCCGACGCACCTACCTAAGTGTGCAGCAGGGTGGGTCGATTTGTTGGTTCTAGAAATGACCAGAGCCCTGGCTTCGAGTTCTGAAGTCAAAATTAGTGTGCCAGAATTGGTTTTAATTTAATTAATTCAAAATTTTTAAGGAATTTAAGAAAACAAAATATGTGATTAATATTTAAACCGAAAATATTTCACTTTGAAACCGATAAAATTAAAATCAATGTTCTTTTAAAAAAAGTACAGACTAATAATAAAATAAATAAAATACTGAGGATAAAAAAAATAGTTACAACTTAAAAATTTTGTAAGGCGTACAGGTAAAGAATTTAAAAATTTCTTTGTCAACGAAAGCGACCCACCCTGCTGCACTAATATTCGTACAGTCTAGAGATGCGTCTCCAATCTGGAACCGAAAAACTGACTCATCTGGGAACAACTCACACACAAAGCCACATAGCCGGCGATTTCATCATGTTGACTAAAAACAGCTGACTCTTGCTAACTGCGTTGTTATTATTATTTTTGTTTTTGCAACAGTGTTTTGCGGCGGGAGCGGAAATTGGAGCCCACCAAAACAACCATGCTTACCAGTTCATGGACACGGGCACGTCCATTCTTAGCGTGTTCCGTGGAAAGGGGGCGTGGACGGCACGCGAGGAGATACGACTGCTGGACGCCATCGAGCAGTACGGATTTGGAAACTGGGAAGACATAAGCAAGCACATTGAAACCAAATCGGCAGAAGACGCCAAGGAGGAGTATGTGAACAAGTTTGTCAATGGCACCATCGGAAGGGCCACCTGGACGCCTGCCCACAGTCAAAGGCCGCGGCTAATCGATCACACTGGAGACGATGACGCCGGGCCACTGGGCACCAGTGCGCTGGCAAGCCTCCCACCTCTGGACATCAACTCTGATGAGGCCATGCAGCTGGGCTACATGCCCAACAGGGACAGCTTCGAGCGAGAGTACGATCCCACGGCCGAGCAACTGATCTCGAACATCACCCTCAGCTCTGAGGACACGGAGGTGGATGTAATGCTTAAGCTGGCCCACGTAGATATCTATACCCGCCGTTTAAGGGAACGCGCCCGCAGAAAACGGATGGTAAGGGACTACCAGCTGGTCTCGAACTTCTTCCGCAATCGCAATTACGCCCTGCACCAGGGCCTCACCAAGGAACAGCGCGAATTTCGGGACAGATTCCGAGTCTATGCACAGTTTTATACCTGCAACGAGTATGAGCGGCTGCTGGGTTCGCTGGAGCGGGAAAAAGAGCTTCGCATCCGACAGGCGGAACTGTACAGATATCGCTACAACGGGCTGACTAAGATCGACGAATGCGTTCACTTCGAACAGCATGCGGCAATGGCGACGCATCGTCCGACGGGACCGTATGGTCACGGCAAGACTGTAAGTGATAGGCACAACCAAAGAGTTATTAAAATCGAACTATTCTTACGCTGGCAAACTTCTATAACTCTAGTTTTATAAACTCTAAAAAAACCATATTAAATGATTACAGTCATAGTTAAACTGATTGGAAATTATAAAATCTGGGTTAAGAAGTTTGCCTACAAATAGATTCGATTTTAACCCTCCTGGACTTAGTGCTCCCCTCCCATGAGAATGCATGACGAGTTGAATATCGTGTGTGCTGCCTTGATTTTCCCGATCCGACCCCGAACTGACCCGATCCAACTCTTACAATCGCTTTTCCGTCTTTGTCTCACGATATTCAGCTCCACTGCATTATAAACGCGCCAAACCACGAGCGTTCGAACGGTTCTATAAGACAATGTTTAACCACAGGACCACACGCAACACTCCAATGGAAGTCTTCGGCCGCCAAACTCTTCCTTGCACTCCCCACAACCGAATCTCAGAAAGGTGTAAGTAATTTGAAATATCCACAAAATAGCACAGATAAATCTTCTTCTTTTTAATTGTGCTATTTACTTGATCGGTTTCCCTTTTTAATGTCGGGTTTATACTTTTAGCGAAATGTCAAGCGGCGCCGAGGCAAGTTCAAGTTCAATCGCACCAAGAAACACGCTCCACACCGCCGACCCGACTTGCTCCGGCGCATTATTGCACAGCAGAAGTTACTTGGATAGCTGTCGGGCATCGTCGGCAGCTACGATGCTGCAGACGACGACGATGACGACGACGGGGATGGGCGTGGGTCAGGGGGTGGCAATGGGAATGCCGATAACATTGGACTCGGGAGTGACGACGGGAGCGATTTCCACGGCTACGACGATGGCGAATCTGCCAACGAATTCCGCGAAGGGAAGCCAACAACATCTGCAGCCGCTGCAGCAGCAGCAGCTCCTGCAAAGCAGCGGCGGCAGCCACAAAAACCTACTGCCAAACGAGGCCGCCGGCGAAAGCAGTAGTGACCAGGCTACCAGTATGAGCCTGAAGCTGCGTACCCAACTGGAAGAACTGAAGCACCTGCCCCAGCCTCTGGGCAGCAACTTGCTAAGCCACAACGAGCTGGATCTGTGCAAGAAGCACAATATTACGCCGACCACCTACCTCTCCCTGAAGACCGTCTGCCTAAGCGGAGCACCATCGCTGGGCAGTCCCATGGAGACTTCGCTGCGAAAGTTTTTTATCAAGTGCGGCTGGCTGAGCCACTGATGGAACCGATACCCTTCTCCCGAGTCCCGTGCATTAAGAGTCACACATGCATTTTCCGATCTAATTCAATTTATTTTATTATCGTTAGTATCTAAGTAAAAGACAATTTTTTATACTGTTCCAACTTTCGTTGCCATTTTCTTCGAGGGAAAAACTACAGAAAACCGAAAATTAATCTTACTTGTATCAAGTTAAGCTCAAAAATTAGCCACAATTTTGTTCCTTTTCGTGTGAGAAATAAGTATGTATTAAACTATGCGTAAGTAGGTCTCCCAACCAATTGAATGTGTATGATATAGTATGAAGTGTAAATGAAGTAATAAATGTAATGCGAGCAAGGATATTGACTTTTGTCTCGGTTGGCAGATACTCTTTTAAAGTGTGCTAGCTACTGTATAGAAAGCCTCTGACATCGACATTTGCGCATTGAGTATTCATAGTATATGTATAAGCTATAAGACATAGCTTTTGATGATTTCTGACAGGCACACGAATAAATGTGTAAAATGAAATTGTTACCAAATGTGACATGTGCTTAAAATGGCTTTTCTGGCAAGCTGTCCCTCTTTGTATGTATTTTAGCTTAAGATCTTCCAAAGCGGATCCCTTACAACTAAATTCTGTAACCGTATACTTACAAAAATATAGTATAATAGATATAAACGGATTTATTCACTTTGACCTTACAATTAGAGGAGATGTGATGCTTGGATGCACTGCATCACTTATTTCGCAAAAAGTAGCGATACAAGGTGTTCTTCTGACCTCCACTGGCAGTGGTCGCAGTGGCAGGAGCACCACCGGCTCGTCCCGCTGTTGCAGTGCTGCTGGCTGCCCCGTTCGTTTGCTCCACCGCTGCTGCCACTAGAGAGCTGCGCCACGAGGCAATCAGTTCCGTTTGCAACTCCACGGGCAGCTCCTTAAACACCTCAGCATCCACACCCGCTGGACACGCGATATTCGAAAGAGCATCGCTTGCTGTTGTGTTGGAACTGTTGGTTGTAGTTGCCACGGCTGCTGTGATAGTCGGTGTGCTGGGCGCGCTCATTGCCATCGAGTCATCCATTGGCGATGGCAGTGGCGATGAGGCTGTGGAGCTAGCGTTTGAACTCAGACGGCTAGCAGTGCGCGTGGCCACGAACCGGAGACTGCCATCGATTCGCTGCAACAGCGTATTCGGCGGTTGGACGGTGCGGAAACGAGGTGCGCTCCCGGATGTGGAAGTTGAGGGCGTGGTGCTCATAGGAAAGTCCTTTTCGCTATCCCGTGAGTTCAGCCGCAGATCACACACGCGTAGTTTGCTAGGCGAAGCAACATCTACGGCGTTATCGGCTACATCCGCAGCCAAACGGCTGCGTTTTGACACAAGCAAACGCCCAATGCGGCTTTTCTTCGGCGAGGGTTCCACTTCTGTTTCGGAGAAGTCGCTGAAGTCCGAGTTAGTGGCCGCCGATTCAGAGCCATTATCTAGCAGCATGGGCACAGGAGAGGCTGTAGTGGCTCTTCTTCGGTAAAACTGATCACTCGGCTTGAATGTCGTTGGCGACGAACGGAAGGCGCATTCATCCGACGTTGGGCTTTCCGCTGTGGGACTCGTGAGACTCGTATTAGTCAGTGAAGTGATCGATTGCACCTCGAGGTCGGCCTTCTTGATAAGGAAATTTGCTATGGATGAGGAGCCGACTTTGCGCTCCTGGAACTTGGAGAAGGCCAGTCCTAGCAGGGTGATGTTGAAGGGCTTGTTCATGTCCACGATCCGTTCGAATAGACGCATCACAATCTTGAGAAGTTTGTCTTGCGCTCCGTCAGCCAATTGAACCTTGCTCACTCCTGTTTCCCCAGGACACGAGGAGGTCTTAAAAAGTGAGGGTAAAATGTTGGCTTGTTTGGTTTCGCGGTGGCTGCTCTTCTTCTGGGAGTCGAACTTTCGCAGCACCACCTTAATGGCTATCGGAATACGGCCGTCTTCAGCAACCTAAGCGGTTCGAAGGGAAAAACATATATAAGAAAAACCCAAATTACTTCCAGCTCATTTGCTCACCTGTTCTACCAGGCGCTTAAGCAGCATGCTGAATCTTTCCTCTACATCTGTGCGCACAGAAATGGGCTTACAGGCGTCCTCCATGCCAATGGTCTTGGGCTTTCCTGTCGGACGCACGGCGCTAGTGTCTCGACCAAAGGCAAGATCCCTCAGCCTGGTGGCCGTTTCAAAGCCGAACTTCTTACGCATCACATCCATGTCGCACTGCTGCAACTGTTCTACGGAGGACATGCCCGCCTCCAACAGCAGGCACTGCGTTTTCTGGCCTATTCCAGTGATACGTTTTAAGCATCCCAGCTCCCGCATGAACTGCTCCGCATAGGTGGATACGAGAACGGTCTGTTGGTTCGGCTTATGGCTGCTGCCTACGAGTTTGGCCAGCAACTTGTTGTATGCGATCCCGGCGCAACAGGTTATGCCCAGTCGGAGTTTGAGTTCCTCTCTGATTTCTTGGGCGATTCGAGTACCGATCGCCAGGCGCTGAGCACAGCCACAGTCGCAGGCTGACAAGTCAGTGCCGTCCGATGGATATGTATGACCCACTGCAGGTTTGTGCTGTGCCTCAGCGGCATGTGCCTGTCTCAGCTCCACCAGCGACGTAACATCCATAAAGTTCTCGTCAAAGCCAAGTTTCTCCACAAGGGGAGTGTAGTTTAATAGCAGATCGAAGATCCTCTGGGACATCTGACGATACGGGGCAAGATCCTCACCATTGACCAGCACCAAGTCCGGACAGATACGCTGCGCCTCAGCAATTAGCATCAGTTTGGTGACTCCCTTAGCCCGCGCTACATAGTTGCAGGTGACCACAATGTTCTTCTGTTGGATGCCCAGAGCCTTCAATTTGAGCGCTGGATCCCGGATTTCCTCTACCTGTGCGTAGAAGTAGTCCATGTCCAGGTGTATGATGGTGCGCTGGTGCGCCTCGCTCTTGCCAAGCACACTGGCAAAGTCCATGGTGGTTCACAGCGCCTGCAATTGCGAAAGGTCATGAAATTCCATAAATGAACTCTGCGAATTCCGGTAGTCGCTTACGAAATACCTTCTTCTTTACCTTTACCGGAGAGTACAAAATTATGTGTGGCGTTTGAATCTATTCAAGATAATATGCAATATGAAGATGTCGACAATCACTCTATTTAATTATCGTTGAAAAGTATCTAGTAATGTCACACGCCCATGCATTTGCCTTGTATATCCTACAAAACTACGATTACTGGGTATTCCTGATGCAAGTTGTTTGGCTGGCGGTGAAACAAAGCAAATTCCGAAAGAGAGCGTGCGATGCTGCCTTGGAGAGGGAGGGGTGCTCCGCTGGGTGAGAAATCGGCAGCAGCCACTGTTGCTTGCTCCGCTCTTCTTCTTCCACTGCCAACTTTCTAATCAAACATTGCGAAAATATTGGAGTTCCACACAACACAGCACGCACACACACACACACAGCGAAGGAAACGTGTGCCGGCTAATCATTTAAACAAAATATTGCACAAAGCTGTCGGTTTCGCGATGACGCATTAGTTAATGGCCGAGAAAACACCAGATCTTAAACGGTTTCCATTCTCCGACCCCCGACCAGCCCCTGGCGGCACAACTCACACGGGCTTTTTATCGACACGAATTTGTGGCTAATAGCATGCACCTGCTTTCCGTAATTTTAATTAATTATTTACCTTAAAAACTATTAAAACTGTTTGTTTTTACCTTAAAATCAGTGTGACCGTAAAGTTATCGATAAACTATACCGTCCGGCTATAAACAAAATATACTAATTTAACAATTATAATTTTTTCAATTATACCAAAAATATACCGTATACACTTTATGTAAATTATTTTATTTAATCTCCTCAAAATGGATTTGTATTGTTTCCTTATATTAGATATATTTTTATTAGATTTATAAGTGACAGTCATGGCAAAAGGGTACAGGTAAAATGAAAAAAACGTTATCAAACGTAAGACTTCGATAACGTAATTAAGTTGAGTTAAGAGGTCGATGTTTGTACTTTAAATCTTTAAATCATCTATGTTGTGACTATCAATATCTTGTGAACCGCAACTCTATGCAATATCCACGAAAAATACCAAAGTCTAATTGGGATTTATAATACTATTTTTTCAAAGTGCGTTGTGTTGCCAGACAGTAAAATTTCGGCAAGATGGCACTTTCACATTGCGAATCCGTTATTTTAAAAATGGATTATAGGGTTGAAATGGGTTGATTTTCTAATACTCTCATTGCTCTTTTCTGTAGATAGAATGTGGTAACAGGGTTTATTAATAGATTCTCCGTTAAATCTCAAAGAAGGCATGACAGAATGACTAAAATTTATAAGACATTCACCACACCTACGAAATCTGAGAGATAAATTTGTATACCTTTACGTGGTAATTAAATCCAGCCAGAGGCCCAAAACGTATTGAAGGAGTCATTTCCGACCCTATAAATCATATATATTATTGATCAGCATTAAAAACCGAATCGATCAAGATATGCCCGACAAAAATCTATTTTTTTTTTTCACAATTTTTCAAATTTTGAAAATTTTGTAAGGGGTTACATCGTTAAAATTGTAAAAAATTGGCAAAAATTTCAATTTTCAAAATTTATAAATTGAGTATGCAGATTTATTAATCTAATAAAAACAAACATTGGAACGCTTTCGGAATTGAAATTAATTAATTTTTGACTTAGTTTTGGGTATTTTAAATTTTGGTTTGTCGACTAAAAGTGCCATATAAATATGTCAATAAATATTACTTAAAAGAACGCGAATGTTTTAAGCTTAGCTTTGATTGATTTCGGATTCGATCTCATAAGTACTTTATTGAGCTATAGCTTCGCGAAATTAGTATCGTTTCATATCGATTTCATATGTAATTAGCATACTTATTAAGTCTGTGAGATAAAACTTTAAGATGCATAAATTACAATGTCAATTTTTTGTATACCTTTGCTGGGTATTATAATTTTAGTCAGTAGCTTAAAAAGTAGTGAAGGAGTCATTTTCGACCCTATAAATCATATATATTATTGATCAGCATTAAAAACCACATCGATCTAGCTATGCCCGACAAAAATCTATTTTTTGTTCACAATTTGTCAAATTTTGAAAATTTTATAAGGGGTTACATCGTTAAAATTGTCAAAAATTGGCAAAAATTTTAATTTTCTAAATTTATAAATTGAGTATGCAGATTTATTAATTTAATAAAAACTAACATGGGAACGCTTTTTGAATTAAGATTAAATTTTTTTGGGGTAGTTATGAAATTTTAAAGGTTTGATTTGTGGGAAGAATAGTCGTTTCAAATTCTAAAAACCCTAAAAAACAGGGCGTCATATGGGTTTTAAAAGAACTAAAAATTTAGATGTTAAAGTGATATCTGAGTAAATCTCTTAAAAGTAATATCTCTATTGGCCATACCCCCATCTAACATGGCCAACTTGATTTACGTCGCTCTTCAATTACCATTTTGGAAATCTGAACATCGCATGTCAGCGCATTTATTGTTATTACAATAATTTTACGAGTGGCCAGCCGCGATTTTTAATGATATTCATGAGTTTTATACAGGTTAAAGAGAGCTACAAGATAAAGGCGAGTACAGAAAAAAAACCAAAATATATAATAAAATAAAAGCGCTACCCCAGGTGGGTGGGGTGTGTGTTGTGTGGGGTGTGCGGGTCGGTGGTGTGGTCACGCGCTTTCATGCCCGCCAAGAATGTGGGGCAGAGCAGCTTTATGGCTCTTGTTTGTGGTTTTGCCTGTGGTGTCGTACGAAATGCGCTCGGAATTCGCCAGCAGTAAAGGCAGAAAGAAAAAAATGTATAAGAAAAATATATATCGGACAGACCTTCGCCTTGTTGTCCACTCCTCCATCCAGATCCCCGACTCGTCCTGCGTCCTGCGCCCTGCGCCTGTTATAATCGCCCCGCTGGCTGCTTGACAGGCAAACAATGCTGTGAATTTGATTAAAATCAGCCAGCGTGTGCGTCTCTACTCCGCTGCTCCTTCAGCTCCTTGGACTCCTTGGGCTCCCTGGAACATTTCTCGTTATTGGAGCACTCAGCTGAGACTCAGCCGGACTCACGGTACTCGGCCATCTCGTTTGCTGGCCCACTCTGCTGCAGGCGGTGCTCCGGCGGTGGTTCCCCTAATTGCAATCCGCCAAATTTGGCATGGGAAAGTCACCCATTCCACCAGAAATATCGCTACTTTAAAATGTGCCTGCTGAATTTGGAATGCTATGAATAACCATCATTAGAGAGGAGCTGTGAGAGGAAAATGCATTTCTTTCGCCGTTTCACTGACTGCTAATGAGCTGCAGCTGCCAGGACGATACTTATGCAACTGCCGTGCTACCCACCTTTACACCCATTCCGATTTTTGCGAACAATCACCGAAATAAATTTAATTATTGATAAGTACATTTAGCTTTCATAATGATAATATTTTTTAAGCGGATTTATTAGAATTGAATTGTAATAGCATTATTTGTATGATTATTATTTTGAAAGGGATAGGGTGCCTATTCCCGGGCTGTTTTTTTCTCAGTGTCACTTCATCCATTGGATTCTTATGAATTAGCAGAGAGGCTAAAAGCTAATTAGTTGCCTGGATTTCTGCTTTCAAGGCCCCATCCCATCCTCCAAGCTCTGGTGGAGCGTTAATTTTTTTCCTCTGGACTGCACACAGGAGCCTCTGCGGATGAATGTGTGAATGGAGGAGGGACTCCACCCACGAATACAGGATCATCCGCACGGCGAAACGAAACGGATGTTCTCGCGCGGCGTTGGCTCCGGTCCCGGTTGCCCATCTCCATCCCCCGCCAGGTCATCCTGAATCTCTCTCTTTCTCTTTTTTCCGCAGGGATGGGGGTGTGTGTGTGTGTGTGCGATGGAGGGGAGCAGCAAAATGTTAATAAATCTTATTTTTATCATTTGGCTATAAATACTGAATTTTTAGCTCCGGCCATGCTCAATTTATGGCCATTATTTATGTCGGAAAAGCGAAAACCTCAAACATGTTGCCACACTTTTTGCCCCTGCTCCTGGTCCGGCTCCTGCTGCCTCTGCTCCTGCCGCCGCTGGCCGCTCCTGGGATCCTTTCGGTGGCTTGCATTGTGCATCCATTTTATTTGCTGTTTTTTGGCCAGAAGAAAGAAAGATACACAAGCCATATTATTGCAATTTTCCAGTTGCTCCGCCCACGCCGCAACTCCAAGGAAGCGAAGCAATGCGAAACGAAACCGAGTGAAATATGAAAAATTGCATTACACCTTAATAAACACCTCACCTGGCGAGCCCCAACAGAGTGGTAGTGGGAGTGGGATCGAAGCTGGAGTTGAACTGGGGCTGGCACTGAAGGATGGGATTGTATCTCCCAATCGCGAGCGGAGCTCCTCCAGCACTTGCAGCTGTGTGTGCCCCGTAACTTGGCCATAATGAAGATTGTCTGCGGCTTAAGTGGACGCACGTTGCTCAGTCGCTGGTCCCAGACGGATGGCAAGAAATATATATTCACAGATGATGGACACTTGAAAAAATATGTCTATAACAAGGATTACGTTTCTGTAAATTTTATATAAACGATTTCCAGCTTATTTATTTGATTTTTAACAAGGTATCTTACTTAGTTTACTGGTAAAATGTTCCATGAAGATTTCTGTTTATTAAGCTTTTATTATTTAGTTTTTTGAGTGCACCGAATCGTGGACATGGGATGCAGGTCCTTCCACCGATCGGTACAGGGAATGGTATCCGACAGGCCAGCGCGCCCGATCGCGATCACTTAGGCGCTCATCTGGCATAAAATTGTTAGAAACGCCCCGTGTGTGTGCGCCCCTGGGTAAAATGCCTCACACTCCCTCCTGCTCCTGCTCACTCATCCACCTCGATTTGTGGCCATAACGTTTTGGCCATTAAATTAATAAATTAATGCGATCGTGCAACAGTCGATCATGTGGCCGGCCAGCCAGTTGCCAGCAAAGCTTTCCCTTCCTCCAGCCCCTTCGATCTTTGATTTCTTCCTGGCTTGTCAGAATTTTCAAAATCTCAATACAACAGTTTTTTTTAGGCGCTGCTGGCATCAGAGGAGAAGGTTATTGGTAATCAAAACATTTTCTTAGCACTTCTTCAAAAGTAACAGTGATTTATGAGAGCTATAAATTTAGTTAAATTTATTAAAATAGATCAAATAAAATGGTTGGTCCTTGAGTTTTGGTTCTTACTTAATTAGTTGTTTCCACAGGACTTTTTATACAAATAATTTGGTAGACGAGAACATTGATTCAAAACTAATTTTTTAATTAATTTGAAGCCACTGTACCTTTAAATGTCTTGAGTTTCTGGCTTCAAGTCCCCTGCCGAGAGAGACTGTTTTCCACTGCACCCGTCGGATTCGGATTCGCATTGCACCGAGCGAACGCTTGTCGTGATCCCAAAAGTGGGTGTTGCTAAGTGTTTTTTTGGGGGCTTGGATGCTGGAGACGCAATGGCTGGTCGCCTTTACTTCCCGGAGAACCAGTCTGCCATTTTGCAGGCCACCAGAGTCCTCCGGCTGCCCGCTCCTCCTGCTGTGCTGCATCATTAACGCGGGGCAGCGACAACGACAACAACAGCAACTGCTGCAACTGCACCGAGGAGAGGAAATAATT